AAATTCTTATCTCTATATTACATTTTATGTTTTAAATTATTATTTTAACGAATTTTAAAGGAAAAGCAATTATATCCTTATCATATTCAGCGTCCGGGCATTATGTATGATATGTGATTTCCAACCACGTATCGAATTTGCTCAATGGCTTCAAAGAAAAGTTGAACAACATCCCCAAATTTTATCAAAAATCCCCTTCACAGATGAGGCTAATTTTTCAAGAAATGGTATCATGAGCTTCTATAATAACCATATCTGGGCGGAAGATAATCCACATGCGATAACGCAAACTCGTTTCCAAGACAGTTTCTCTTATAATGTATGAGTAGGCATAATTGGAGATTATTTAATTGGGCCCTATTTTCTCCCCTTACGTGTGAATGGAGATACTTACCTAAATTTTTTGGAACACGAGCTTTCCCAGCTTATGGAAGATGTTCCCATTGGTCTATAAAATCACTCTTAGTTTATGCAAGAAATATCTTAGACATAGCATATCCCCAATGATGGATAGGAACCTCAATCCCGTCGATTTTTTGGGACACCTAAAATCGCTAGTTTATGCTAGCTAACTAAAAAATGTTAAGGGATTGCATCATAGCTTACTGGAAACGATAAGAAACACTCCCGGCAATTTTCAACGGGTACGGAATTCTTTGATGAGGAGAGCAGAAGCTTGTATTACTGTTGGGGTTCGTCACTTTGTATATGTATTGCCTAATGAATAACATAGGACTTCTCTGAATTGTTATTTTCACAAACTCCGAACTCAAATGTAATGGAAATCAAATGGAATAATTAAACCTGACAATTTTTCTCAATTTGGGTTGATTATAATAGTCTTAAGATTCCACAATGAATGGTGGTCATAAATTGGGAAGTAAAGAATACGAATACATCTTGTCAAAATGAATGAACACATCTGAAATTAGTTTGCAAACATGTTGGAGTTTGAGAATTAGACTGTAATCATGAGGTTAAAAAAAATTACATCAAGATCGTCAAGATATTCAGTACAAACATGTGATTTACATTTCAATACACATACATATTAGTCAACTGGGAACATACTATTTGGACAATTCCATAAAATCCATTGATGTCATACAGAGGATTTTCAGTCGAGAAAAACTTCGTGAGTACAGTAAGATTATGCAGTTCAATAATGCTCAGTTTAGAATTGTCTATCTCTTCGAGATAAAACACAATAAACATTTTTTATTAATGGTTTATTAAATCTAAAGAAATGAACTTTTAACTTTAAGTCTCGAATATACGTACCCAGTAGGTTGAATGAACTGACGCCTATCAGAAAACAACTACTCCACTGGCTAATACCACGAACGGTGTTGGTTTATATCCGACAGGCGTCAGTGCAGGAATCTTCACAGAAAATTTCCTGCATTTGCAATTGGCAATACAACTCAAAAAGTCGACCTTCAATTTTGGAACGGGCACACTTGCAGGCCGGTTTCGGGCTAATTATTCACTCATCAGTGCAAGATAGTGGCCATTATCGACCTAAAGTCAATAATATTCCATAATTGAAAATCGGAATTCTTGGAATCATGGACTTTAGGTCAATGGTAGGCGTCAGCCCATTCAACCTACCCTGTACTTATATTCGAGACTGGCTTGAACGTTTAAAGTTCAATCTTCAGATTTGTTTACTGCCAGTCTTCAAGCATAGCCCACTGACTAATAAAGTTTTTCTTCCTTATTCAGAGAAATCGGGCAAATTAAGGACATGCAGTTGGTTAGTACCTCGTCCACTAGATGGAGTGACATTTTGTTGTTCGCTTCAACTTAGGAAGAGGAATGAAATACTCTGAAAGAATTCCATCCCGTTTGTCTTTCTGGCAAACATCAGTTAAAAGGGGAAGGGAGCCAGGCTTCAACCTGAATAAAATCAAGATGGATAACGTCGACTTTCCATTTACTTCACTGAGTTACAGGCTCTAAGGCTGGTCGAAAACACCATCCGCGACTTGAACACTAATAAAAAAGTACATATTGTCCTATTAGCCATCTCGAAGGCCTTCGACCGTGTTTGGCACGAAGGTCTTCTACATAAATTGAACGCTTTCGACATACCTCGGGGCCTCGTCCGGTGGATCGGGTCCTTCCTGAAAGACAGGGCATTTCAGGTTAGAGTAGAGGGATCTCTGTCTGACAACAGAGAGATCCACAGAATACTGATCGCTGGTACCTTGATTGGAAGATCCGAGTGAACCCGGATAAGACTCAGGCAATAACCATGGGAAGACTGAAATCTTCTCCGGCCAGAAAAGTGAGAATCTCTGGAAGGGAGATTAACTGGCAAGCGCGAGTAAAGTACCTCGGCCTTCTAATAGACCGTAGGCTCACTTGGAACCCGCACATAACGTGCGTCAAATCTAAGATCGAGGGTCGGATTGCACGTCTGTACCCTCTGATAAACAGAAAATCAAAAATGAGTCTAAAAAACAAAATTACCATCTACAATACGATGTTCAAGTCTGTCATCATGTATGCTTCAGGCGTCTGGGGACAAGTGGCTCCGTCCAACATTTCCATTCTGGAAAGGTTACAAAACAAGCTAATAAGGATGATTATGAATGCTCCTTGGTTCGTGCGGAATGAAGCCATCCGCAGAGATTTGCAGCTGCCTTCCATTCGGCACTCCATCCAGTCGAGAAATCAAAGAGTTTTTGATGATGCAGAAACTCATGAAAACCCATTAGTCAATGGATTATACTATAGACGACCCCTCCTGATATAGAAGGCCCCGACACTCTGTCGAATGAGGCCCTCATGTCCCCCGTTAACGGATGAATAACTTTCTCATCCATCCCACCCCAGCCAGGTAGGGGTATCCCGTGAAGGGCGGTCCTGATGTCTGAGGACTTCATGCCGCCATACCATCAGTCATGTACCCATTGGTCCTTCTCGTGACCAATAATCAGCCAAAAGGGTAAGGGAGCTGGACTCCAAGCCTGAACGACACGAAGATGACTTTCCACGACTTTCAATTATGGAATATCATTGACTTTAGATCGATGTTGGCCACTATCCTGCACTGATGAGTGGCTAATGAGCCCTAAACCGGTCTGCAAGTGTGCCCGTTCCAAAATTGAAGGTCGACTCTTTCAGTTGTATTGCATATGCAGGAAGTTTTCTGTGAAGATTCCTGCACTAACGCCTGTCGGATATAATCCAACGCCCTTTCGTGGTATTAGCCAGCGGAGTAGTTGTTTCCTGATAGGCGTCAGTCCATTCAACCTACTGTGTTGGTATATTCGAGACTGGCTTGAACGTTTAAAGTTCATTTCTTTAAATTTGTTTACTGCCAGTCTTCAAGAATAAGCCCACTGACTAATAAGTAATAGTGGTTTATTTACGAAACGATATTAAACATACAGCATTAATCCTTATACAAGTATGTGTGTGTGTGTGTGTGGTTTAAAATTTTTTGGCTTTGGGAGAACCAATTAGCCAGACTGTTTTAATGAAAAACTATTTGAAAGTAACATTGTTGAAGTTTTTGCCTGTCCGAGATTCATTGAATTGATTTTGCCAAATTTCATTCAAATCTTTCTTGTAAATTCGATTCAAATCGGTATGTGGAATAAAGGTGTGAATGGACTCTTCTCCTGTTTCAGTGGCTTGCTTTGCTAATCTATCTACTACTTTAAATACATTGTGCATAGGAAATAGATCAATATGGCCTTTTACAGCATGTACTGCAAATCATTATTTTCGAAGATATTACAGATTTGAAATGCAGGAACATTGTGTTGGCGGCGGTACCGGTCGGGGGGCGGCGCATACCTATAAATAGCGCATTTGAAGGCTGCACTTCGCCCTATAGCAGTTTATGGTTAGCAGCCATCGAACGCATTTATATGTATATTTAGTATCAGCATTACACCCGTGCGGAGCCATGGCGGTCACTGGTATAAAATATAAAGAGACAGATCTTGTTTTTCAGGCCACATCTTATGAATAATATAAATTAGTTCTCTTTCGAAATATTAATTATTAAATCCAAAATAAAAATATTCAACTTTATACAAAAAATTTAGGAGTCTTCTGAAGAAAGGAGGAAAGCAATTGGGTTCAAAATAAACTCTTCACAAGGATGCGTAGAACGTGCATAGAAGTTACTTTCAGATTTAAATTGGAAGATTTAGTCAGATTGTCACTAGGAAAGAAAAGTTTACAAAACTATCACCTTTGAAATAGCTTCAGGGAGATCAATCCTGCTTGAGGAGGCTATGTAAACCACAATCTCACAATAAACTTTAGTTAGTTAAGATTCTTCATCAGATAATTAATAAAACTTTTTAGTTTGACACCATTAAAGTCAGTAAAAACTATAGTTAAGAAGAGATCATTTATTAATATAGGAATCCTAATATACATAATACTGTTATAACAATCACATTTGAAAATACAAGCAAAAAAAAAGTTGGCTAATTCGTGGTTACTTGAAGCTGAAATTATGAAAGAATTCATAATTTTTGTGTCAAGGAATTCACGGTCCTGCAATTGATGTTAAAATCTGCTGTTATTATAATCATACCTGAATTTACCTGTTGCATGTATTAAGATGAATGTTTTCATGAAATTTCAAATAACGTTTCTGAGCAAAAGATTTAGAGCAGATTTCACACTGGTATGGTTTTTCACTAGTATGAATTTTTGTGTGCATTTTCAAGGAACTTCTCTGATTGAATGATTTAGAGCAGATTTCACACCGATATGGTTTTTCGCCGGTATGAATTTTTTCATGTCTTTTCAAATCACCTCCTTGAATGAATGATTTGGGGCAAATTTTGCACTGAAATGGTTTTTCGCCAGTATGAATTTTTTCATGCCTTTTCAAATCACCCCCATGCATGAATGATTTGGAGCAGATTTCACACTGAAATGGTTTCTCGCCAGTATGAATTTTTTCATGCCTTTTCAAATCACCTCCTTGAATGAATGATTTAGAGCAGATTTCACACTGAAATGGTCTATGGCCAACATGAATTCTTTCATGTGATTTCAAATTACTTCTGTAAGTGAAGGTCTTAGTACAGATTTTACACTGAAATGGTTTCTCACCAGTATGAAGTTTTTCATGTACTTTCAATTTACCTCCTTGAACAAATGATTTGAGACAGATTTTGCACTGAAATGGTCTGTCCCCAGTATGAATTTTTTCATGCCTTTTCAAATCACCACTTTGAGTGAATGATTTTGTGCACACTTTACAATAAAATAGTATTTTTTTCATAGACCTATTTTCCATGTGAGTTTACTGGCATATTCTCATTGAAAACCTCCTCTTCCTTAGCAACAATTGTTTCTTCCTGGTCATCAAAAAGAAAGTTTCCAGAATCTGTAAAAAATAATAGTGAAGTGAAAATTATTTCAATCAATTTTATCAATCTCATAAAAAATAAACTTCCCTCATTTATTGTGTCTATTTGAAATTGATGTTAGAAGGGTTATTTCTAAAAGTTGATACAAAATTGATAAACATGTCCACCAGGAATAACATATATTTTGATGTACAAACTTTTCAGTGGCATGATTTTTTCACTATTTCTACTCTCGAAAACTAGAACGTAGAATTCATTCCAGATAGCAGGTTACACATTACATAAAAATCTGGTAGGTGTAAAAAGGTGTTACAAGATCAAATTTATAATTTAATATGTTTCTCTCACTGTTCTGAGTGGAAACGAATATGACACATTATTCAGTAAGCAACCTAGCTTTGATGACAATAGTTATAGAATTTCCACAATAATCTTTATTTAAAACACGTTTTGCTAAACGGTAGCTGATATGACTGGGATCAGTCCAACTGATGAAGCCACTGTGTAGTGGAACACATCTTCAATAAAATTTGCTATGAAAACAGTGAAATCATTATCATGGATAATGCTATAAATTTTCATCAAGGAAAGGGTCCCTGTCTTAATAACGTAGCTTTTCCAGTAAATATGGATATGACAAAAAAAAATTTTTACAGCAGATTACATCTTCAATTTTCTCCAATAAATTTATCTCAGTTATTGTAGATTAGTTTAATAGCTCGGATATAACCTCAGAACATTTTTTGTTGCGAGTATATTTTCATGTCTTTCATTGAAATGCCAGGTATTTCTAGGCATACCATACTTTTAACGAAATAAATGTTACCTGGGCCAAATCTAAGTGGTTTCAAATCCAGAGCTATATCTTCATCTTTCACTACATTGGACTCACTCTTGCATTGACAGTTACAACTATCAGGGCTGAAGAAGTCAGTCGGACTAATCAAATCTCCTCTACACAGTCCACAATGTAAGCATTCCTTCACTTCTTGGGGACCTAGACACTTTTCAGATTTCAGATCATGATGAACAATATCAATGACATCCTCAACTTTAATATGTTTTAGTTCAAATTCCTTCTTTGGGATAATTTCGTGTGCATCAAATCTTTCTTCAGAGTTGTTGGTAACGTTTTCATCATCAGCAGATTCAACCTCCTCTTTAATGATCCTTTCATATTCACCAGTAGCCATTTTCAAGTGAGATTTGTGTTCAATTCATCAACAATCATCAACAATTAAATTCCTCTTTGCCTATTGTTGATTTTTTAATTAAAATGAATACAGTAAACAATGAATATAGTATTCTTCACAGTACAATCACAGTAGGAAGCTTAAAACTGTACTATTCCATAAATAAAAATAATGGGAGATTCATTCATCAGTATCTGGTATCTTATTATGCCTTTAGCATAGGATAGGTAAAATGCGGTTGACAGTTGACACGAATCTCTCTCTCTAAATTGGACATGCTTCCCCTCGGGCGCATTTGTCCAGGTCCTCCTATCAAATTGACAGAAGCTTCGTCGGTGTGGGGGGGGCGCAGCGGTCTTGCTCGAAGCAATGCTGCCACCCCTTTTTTGTCGAACTTTTTATAATAAAAAAACAATATTCTTTTTTATTGTCGCCTCCTTCTCAGGAGACCTTTCGATTTTTTTCACATATATATTTATTAGGTCGCCTCCTCTTCGATGGACCTTCGGATATTTGAATACACATACATGGCCCCTTTACGTGGTTATTCGAACCCCCGGCCTGGATACCGACGTGAATAAAGTGGCCCTTATTCTTCACTCTTACACATTTCAGTAATTACCACAATATACTAACATAACACAAAACGGAGCCCTACTATAACACATGACATCCGCATACCTTCTTTGGGGCTGGACGTTATCAGAAATTTGTGTCAGATGTCAAATTTGATAATAAAAACAAACTTTTCAATTTCATCTCAAATATAATCTGATTTGTGCAAGTAATAATTTTCCAGCTTTTCAGCATTTTATAAACTTTAACGATCAAAATAAGGCAGAAACTGACAATTGACGTAACGTAATACCAAATTCTTTTCAAAACCAACTTCGCGCTAGTTTTGAATCATGATGAATACAATGTACGTATCAAATCAGTTGATGTGACATCATCAATTCAACGCCAGAATGAATGTATTTGAACGAGTTTCGTGGTGGCCGTGCTGATTAGTCAGGGAAGCTATGGAGTATACTGTAGACGACCCCTCCCGATATAGAAGGCCCCGACACTCTATCGAATGAGGCCCATATATCTTCCGTTGAAAGATGAACAACTTTTTCATCCAACCCACCCCAGCCAGGCAGGGGTACACCGTGAAAGGCGGTACTGATGTCTGAGGACACTCATGCCGCCATACCAACAACACCCACATCAGTTATGACCCGTTTGTCCTTCTGGCAAACATCACTCCAAAGGGTAAGGGAGCCAGGCTCCAACCTGTCGAAATTCAAGATGGCCTTCCGCCGTGCTGATAACGTCCGCCCACAAGGAAGGTACGCGGAGGCCATGTGCTATCGTGAGGCTCCATTTTGTGTTAGTCCATTGTGGTAATTATTGAAATGCGTGAGAGTATTAAAAAAAAAAGTGAAGAATAAGGGCCCCTTGGCTTAATGCGCCGGTATCGAAAACAGGGTGGTTCGAATAAACACGTAAAGGGGCTATGCATGTGAATTCAAAAATCCAAGTCTCCCGAAGAGTAAGCGACCCAAATTAAAATATATGTTAAAAAATCAAAAGGTCGTCTGAGCAGGAGGCAACAATAAAAAAGCATATTGTTTATTATTATATAAAGTGCAACAAAAAAGGGGTGGCAGCATTGCTTCGAGCAAGACCACCGCGCCCTCCCGACGAAGCTTCTCTCAATTTGATAGGAGCCTGGACAAATGCGCCCGAGTGGGAAGGAACGTCCAACAAATATAGAGAGAGAGAGATAATTTATTTGAATCACAGACGAATACGTTTTTAAAACATGAGTGCCAGAAGACGCCTAATGTTTATATAATAGATTCATCATGCCTAGTTTAGTTCCCGGCTTAACTCAACTAAGTTGTTGAGTTGCTACAAATAATTAAACCTTAGTGAAAATCTTACAATTAACTATTTTACTAAGTTATAACAAATACTTTTCAATTCGAAATGTTTATAACCTGAAACTTCATGAACTCGGGTACATAAAAACTGCCACAATGAAATATTAACAAATTTTTATCTTGAACAACTCTGTTTATTTGTAGCCCAAACAGATTCCCTAATGAGACCTTATTTTAATATATTATAGGAGGAAAAATAATTTGTATATATGTGTATTTTTTTCCGATGACATTCAAAATCATTATGTACGCCAGCTTAGTTCAGTCCCTAATCAAATCAAAATGTACTTTATTGTCGAAGATGAAATCTCATTGACAAAGTGTTACTATTCTAAGAAATATAAGATACCAACTTCAAAGATATTGTCGAAGATAAAATATTATTGTCAAAAGTGTTACTATTTTAAAGAATATAAGTTATACAAATTGAAAGTAATATTTGATAAGACATTAAATAAGTTGTGAAATTATGCAACTGGTAATCAACGTCAATACTTTGGGAGACATTTTTTCATCCTGTTGAATTCTCGTTTTTGAATGAATTTACTGTATGTGCAACCTCAAATTCATTGACTGAAAAAACTTTCTCCGCATCAGAACACAAATACTGTGCCTCGCTGGACGTTTCGATAACCAAGTTAACATCATCAGAGGCATTTCTTAATGCTGACTTAGCGACACGCCTACTCCCTAGATTGAAAGTATAAAGATAATAAGATATATCTTTATACTACGATTGAACGGAGGTTTCCATGGGTGTTCGGTGGTATTTATATCAGCGGAAGCTACTGAAGTGGAAATGTGTTACACCTTTAATGTGTAACTGACAAAATTGGCCGAATTCTCAAAAAACAGGACATAAAAATGATATTCACCGCCAACAATCAAATTTCCACATTCCTCCGTTTCCTCAAGGACAAATTTGTCAAATGAATCCCTGGGTATATATTCCCACACTCAGGATAATTACACATGAGTTACAAAGAAATGCTTTTCAACCAGTATGCATTTTTTCATGTCTTTTTAAATCACCTCTTCGAATGAATGATTTAGAGCAGATTTCACACTGAAAAGGTTTTTCGCCAGTATGAATTTTTTCATGCAATTTCAAATTACCTTTCTGAGTAAAAGATTTAGAGCATATTTTACAGTGAAATGGTTTTTCACCAGAATGAATTTTTTCATGTCTTTTCAAATCACCTGATCGAATAAATGATTTAAGGCAGATTTCGCACTGAAATGGTTTTTCACAGGTATGAATTTTTTCATGTCTTTTCAAATCACTGGCTTGAATGAAAGATTTGGAGCAAATTTTGCACTGAAATGGTTTTTCGCCAGTATGATGTTTTTCATGCAATTTCAAATTACTTCTGAAAGTGAAGGACTTTGAGCAGCTTTTACACTGAAAAGGTTTCTCGCCAGTATGGATTTTTTCATGTCTTTTGAAATCACTGCCTTGAACAAAAGATTTGGAGCATATTTTGCACTGAAATGGTTTTTCACTAGTATGATGTTTTTCATGCCATTTTAAATTACTTCTGTAAGTGAAGGACCTAGAGCAGCTTTTACACTGAAATGGTTTTTTGCAAGTATGAATCATTGAATGTCTTTTCAAATCACAATTTTGACTGAATGATTTTGTGCACACTTTACAAGAAAAGGGGATCTTCTTTGTTGATCTGTTTTCACTATCGGTTTTTTCATTTACATTTTTTGAGCACGTTTTGTTTTCTTCTTGAATGCTCTGCCCAACTGAATTCAAATAGTACCCAGATCTGAATGTTTTGTTGACCTTCTCAGTTTTTTGTGGCGTTTCGTGTTTAACAACATGAAAACTTTCAATAGAAATTTCATTTTTACTTGACGTTGATGGAACATTTTCATTGTATACAACCTCTTCTTTCACAACTAATTTTTCTTCTGGAATTTCAAAATGAGAGTTTCCAGAATCTGTAAAAAATACTAGTTACATGAAGAAAGAAGAGTAACTTGTTTCACATACATAATTATGAAGTTTCATCCATGATAGGTCATAAAACATGTGCTCAATTTGTGAAAGTCAAAACGTGCAACAATCACATTCATACCATTTAAGTTGTTGAGAGACCTTTCAAGTTGAAATTCCTTGGAACACATCATTATCAATGACTTTTATCAGTACAGATCTCATATAAAATACTTTTTTCTCGTTTTCCTTCTCCTCTTATGTAATCATATACATTATGCTTCATCTAAAGTTTTGTATACAAAATCAACCATCGATTCAAATTTGTTATTGTTGTCGCAGCAAACTTTGCTTCAGTGCAAGTTCATCTCAACTTAATATAACCTAGGGTGTTGTGTCAACTTATGCTGGTACATCAAGTTTATTGATACTTTTCTGTGACTTGTTAGTGACCCAAATAATATTTCATTGATGAACTAGTTGAGCAGAGGATCAAAAAAATAGGTGGGAAAAAACTATGTACTTTCGCTAATGTTTTGAACATCATCGTGTCCGAAGCTTAATGAAAACAGGCAGATCTACAGAAAATATTCCCTGTTGATATACTGATTTAAAAAATTATTTGCTTAAAATAACTCGCCTCCTCAAAAGGAAAGGCTTCCAATTGAAATAACGAGCAACACAAAAAATTATCCATGTATGTTTAAAGAAAAAGGAAGATACTTACAGCATATCAGAGATACTCAAATTGTACTTCAGTATTCTTCAATGATATCAACTCAGTTATTGTGAACTAAGCAGGGTGTAGATTAGTTCAATAATTCAGAAAATGTATTTTTTATGAGATCCATCGTGATTTCTGTTCATTCTTTTGAAACTTTTACTAAAATGTATGTTACCTGAACCAAAAATGAGTGGTTTAAAATCCCTAGACATATCTTCATCTTGCATAGCATTAGACTCATTCTGGCATTGACATTTACAGGAGGATTCCACACTATCAGGGCCGAAGATATCAGTTGCACCTCCACATTCTTCACAAAGTAATCCTTCCTTTACTTCTTCCAGACACTCTTCGGATTTCAGATTGTATACCATATCAATATCTTCATGTTTGATATATTCTGGCTCAAATTCTTTCTTCACGATACTAGTTTCGAGTGCATCACATTTTTCTTCAAAGTTAGTATTGTTTTCATCGCCATCAGACACCACCTCCTCTTTAATTAGAACTCCATATTCATATTCACCAGTAGCCATTTTCTAGTGGAATGTGGACAATGTTGATTTGTTTTCAAAGATTGTAAAAGCAACACAAACCACTTAGAGTAAGTAGTTTGTGATAAGCAATTGAATTTTTGTTCGTCAGTAATCAGTTTTTGGGGGTCACCTCCCTTACTCTGAAACTAGAAAAGTAATGTAGTCTGCTCTGCAGTGAAGTTTCTCTCTCTCTCTCTCTCTAAATTAAAAGACGTTTTCCACTCGGGCGCATTTGTCCAGGCTCCCCTATCAAATTGACATCAATTTGACAGAAACTTCGTAGGGGGGGCGGCGCGCGGTTTTGCTGGAAGCAATGCTGTCACCCCTTTTTTGCTGTCACACTTTTTATAATAAAAAACAGAGTACTTTTCCATTGTCGCCTCCTGCTCAGGAGACCTTTTGATTATTTAACATATATTTATTGCGTCGCCTCCTCTTCGGGAGACTTTCGGATTTTTAAATTCACATACATGTCCCCTTTATGTGGTTATCCGAACCACTTCGGCCTGGATACCAGCGTGAATGAAGGAGCCCTTAAACTTCACTTTTTAAAAACTCTCACACATTTCAGTATTCATTACAATAAACTAGCACAACACAAAATGGAGCCCCACGATAGCACATGGCATCCGATGACGGACGTTATCAGCACGTCCGTCCACTACCACGGCCACCAACGAGATTCCTGCAGTAAAGTTTGGTGAATCGAAATAATAGATATAGATCTCTCTATCTCCTTAATCTCTATGGCTGTTGGTTCTCATTCCAGAACATTTGGACATGCTCCTCCTGTTCATAGTGAACAGAAGCTTCTTCCGGGGGCACAGATGTCTTGCTGGAGGCAATGCTGCCATCCTAAGATTTTTGCATTCGCTACTTCTTTCAACAAAAACACTTTTTTAATGCTCTTTCCTTTTCGCGAGGCCTTCGGATAAAAATAACACAAATATACATGTTCATATATTTTATAGAACTGACGACCACGTCGAATCCGTCGACATCCAGCCTGGTTACTGGCGTAGGGTGCATCGGAATTTTGACACTTCCGGCAGTTTTCGATAATTAGATAAATGGTGGTCTTTGACGAAATTGGTCAATTTTCGGAGGCGATAATAAATAGATTTATTTTATTGTATTTCGAATAGAGTGACCACCAACATACCACTTTCTTCCTTTGTGAACGTAAAAATTTAGGGTTCGCATCAATCTATCCATTTAAATTTCAAAAACTACACCCCACGATTTGATATCCACAAACTTTATTTGAAAAATATATCACATGTTTCGCTAACACAGTAGCTTGATAAAGCTTTGGATAAAGTTTGTGGAGATCAACTCGTGAGGTGTAGTTTTTGAAATTACTATGGATCTTCAACAAGTAACGGCCGAATCAATCAGAAAAATATCCTTTCTTATTTGTCAGTGGGCTATGCTTGAAGACGGGCAGTAAACAAATTTAAAGAAATGAACTTTAAATTTTCAAGCCCGTCTCGGATAAACCTATACAGTAGGTTGAATGGACTGACGCCTATCAGCAAACAACTACTCCACTGGCTAATACCACGAACGGTGTTGGATTATATCCTACAAGCGTCAGTTCAGGAATCTCCACAGAAAATTTACCGTATAGGCAATTGACAATACAACTGAAAGAGTCGACCCTCAATTTTGGAACGGGCACATTTGCAGACCGGTTTCAATTAATCCTAGGAATCACACGTTAAAAGGTAAGATCTCGTTAGTCCTTAGCTCGCACAAGTTTCTCAACTTCTGAGAGTTGTCGTTCGAATGGGGGCGACAGCTGATTAACGGAAAAACAGATTTAAAACAGAGATTTTCAAATGAGCAAATCCATGAACATTTCACCAGAAATAACTCTCAACTACATCAACCTTATAATAGATTTACAGTACCAAAGAATCACCCCATGTGCTGTGGGGTTAAGCTATATAATAAGCTTAGTGAGGACATTAAATCCTAAAATATCAATGTATTCAAAAGGCGACTCAAGATTTTTCTATTTCAAAAAGCATACTAATCTGTGGATGACTTTCTACTTGAATCCTAATTTGATTGTAGCTTATTAACTTTTATATTGACTTTTTTATGTTTGTGTGACCTGTTGAATCAGCCATATTTTATGATGATGTTGTTTTTTGTTCAATGTATATACATCAAATCAAAATACACCAAGAACATTCAATATATTACACAAAACAATACAGGCTCCTAGAGAAAATCCAACACAAAGGATAATAACTGATGTAACCTAAATACAGGTAAATTTACCTTACAGTACCTGAAATACCTGCACTAAGCATTCTGACCGCATAAAAGAACAAACAAGAGGATGAAACGTTCAGTTTGAGTAGAGCTCACTGAAAAGGTTTTTCGCCAGTATGAATTTTTTCATGCAATTTCAAACTACCACTACGAGTAAAAAACTTGGAGCAGGTTTTACACTGGAATGGTTTTTCAGCAGAATGAACTTTTTCATGTCTTTTCAAATCACTTCTTCGAATGAATGATTTATGGCAGATTTTGCACTGAAATGGTTTTACACCGGTATGAGTTTTTTCATGTCTTTTGAAATCACTGCCATGGATGAAAGATTTGGAGCAGATTTTACACTGAAATTGTTTTTCGCCAGCATGAGTTTTTTCATGTCTCATCATATTACTATAATCACTGAATGATTTAGAGCAGAATTTACATTGATATGGTTTTTCACCAGTATGGATTTTCGAATGTCTTTTCAAATCACATTTTTGACTGAATGATTTTTTGCACACTTCACAAGAAAAGAGGATCTTCTTTGTAGATCTCTTTTCACTATCGGTTCTTTCATTTACATTTTTTGAGCACATTTTGTTTTCTTCTTGAATCTGCTGCCCGAATGAATTCAAATAGTACCCAGATCTAAATGTTTCATTGATCTCCTCAGTTTTTTGCAGCGTTTCGTGTTCAACAACATGAAAACCATCAATAGAAATTTTGTTTTCACATGACATTGATGGGACATTTTCATTGTATAGAACCTCTTCTTTCACAACTAATTTTTCTTCAGGAATTTTGAAATGAGAGTTTCCAGAATCTATAAAAAAAAGTTAAATGAAGAGAATAGAGTAACTTATTTCACTACATAATTATGAGGTTTCATCTATAATAGTTCAAAAAACATGTGCTCAATATGTGAAAAACAAAATGTACAACAATCACATTCATTCAATGTTACCTGGACCAAGGCTAAGCGGTTTAAAATCCAAAGACATATCTTCATCTTGCATAGCATTAGACTCATTCTGGCATCGACATTTACAGGAGGATTCCACACTATCAGGACCGAAGACATCAGTTGCATCTCCACACACTTCACAAAGTAATTCTTCCTTTACTTCTTCCAAACACTCTTCATGTTTGATATATTCTGGCTCATCTCCCTTCAAGATACCAATTTCAATTGCATCACATTTTTCTTCAGAGTTGGTATCGTTTTCATCGCCAGCAGATACCACCTCCTCTTTAATTAGACTTCCATATTCATATTCACCAGTAGCCATTTTCAAGTGGAATGTGGACAAAGTGGATTTGTTTTCAAAGATTTTATAAGCAATTAAATTTTAGTTTGTCAATAATCAGTTTTCCTTCTGTCACTCTGAAGAAAAGAATTACTAAATGAAGGGTAAAGCACTCTTTTCAGTGAAGTTTGGTGAATTAAAATAGTGCAAATAGATCTCCCTCTCATCACCCCTATTTCTTTTTCCGCTGCTTCTCATTCGAGCGCATTTGGAATATTTGGATTTTGGATTTGGTTTAGCTTGGGCACAGTTTTTTGTATACAGAAATACTGTGGCTTGGGCCTCTTTCCTGTTAATAGAAGCTTCGTAAGGGGGCGCAACTGTCTTGCTCAAGGCAATGCTGCCATCCTAAGTTTTTTCATTCTCTTCTTCTCTCAAAAAAAACTCAACTCTTTTACTGGTCTGCTTTTCGGGAGGCCTTCGGATAAAAATTTCACAACACAAATGTTCATATATTTTATAGAACTGTTGACCTCGTCGACATCCAGCCTGGTTACTTCATAGATATATTCTATATATATTATAATTTCTATGGGTTACTTGTGAAGGGAGCCGCCAGTCCTCTCATATTTCACGTCACCATTATTCAAACATGACTTCATTTCAGAATACGCTTCATTCAAGGTTACACCTTTTTGACTCCACTCCGACCACCTACCATCTTTGAGGGCAGTCGTTATCAGCACAACTGCCCTCTCTCCAAATGGAGATCACTATATAGTATAGGACAAAGTCGCTATATACGCTTAAATATTTAAAACTACGCAACGGATTTTGGTGCGGGTTTTTTTTAATAGATAGAGTGATTCAAGAGGTAGGTTTATATCTATGTAACATGCATAATATAGAAGAGGAACACTGATAATTTAAGAGATTTCTAATGTGATGTCGTAAATGAGTACTTTTTTTTCTTCTTTTTTTATGGTCTACTCCGCCGAAAGGAAGCAAAGACCATAAAAAGAAGAGGAGAAGAAGAAGTAGATTTTTTGCGTTTACTTCGCAAACCTCAAAACGCTTGCTGAACCCACAGAACTATAACTTAGTTATGTTCACAGAACTATAACTTAGTTATAGTTCTGTGGCTGAACCCAACAAGATTGAACAAAATAGTGTTCCACATCTTCAAAAGGTTCACAAAAAAGTCTACGATGGTATATTTCTTTCTAATTCCTTAACTTTTTACGATAATTAATGGCTTATTTACGAAGCTATTTTAAACAATATAGATTTTTGTGTATTTTTTACGCTTTAGTGATAACTAGCATCAAAGAATCATAAAACTCAGTGGTGTGAAATAAAAAATGAACAATTCTGCGATTCTCTTCAAAATTTTCTACACCGAATATTTCGAACTCTTACCATTGGGATTTTGGAACTATATTGACTATATAATGACGGTTGAATTGGAACCAAGTTGCTCATTTATGTGACAATGTCACGAAAATTTTTTAAAAGCCGTTTCCATGGTTTTCTGACTTTATTTGATAAAGGAGACTTTTTCATAAGCTTACGTAAGATGCTTTCAGATTTTCAATCAGATGTTTCGTCTTATGGCAACCATCATCAACTTATGTATTACAGTTTATTGTATTCGTTTGAAAATGTCCTTATAGGACGAAACAGTAACGTCAGCTACCAATACCTATACGTTGTATAAAAACATAGAAAGTTCTAATTCTCATTTTTTCATGGTGATCTACCAGGTAGTACCACTACATCTATCAATTTACAATTTACAAAAATCCTTGAAAAAAAACGAAACTTTTGAAGGAAGAAAGAAAGCACTTAGTTCAAAATGACATCTTCATGAAGATGTGTCTATACAAAGAAGTTACTTTCAGATAAAAACTGGAAGACAAAACTTAATTCCCAAAAAGTCTCTCCTAAAAGATATACCTTTCTCAATCTATATCAAAGCTTAATACCATAGTTTACTGTGAGATTTTAACCTCACAAGAGAGGTTTTCAAAACCGCCACATGTCACTGTTTTGTAAACCTTTCATATTTAAAATGTCGCGATAACCTACCATGAAATTTATGGAATAGTTTTGAATTCGAATGTCAAGTTTTTGGAGGATATAAAAATGTAAGATTCTTCTCGGATATCATTGCAAGGTTTACTGCTAATTCAAACGAATATAATATAGAATGAATAGAATAGATTTATTTACCAATATAACAAACAAAATGCTTATACTCTAAAACAGTATGTTAACTACATACATTCAGGTACATTAAAACATTGCCATCATGAAATAGTAACAAATTTTGATATATTTTCTAATGAGGCCCAATTTATACACATTTTACAAGGAAAGACAGTAGAGCTTTTGGAGAAAATTCCAAACCATTCTGTGTTATCTAAATCATTTATTAAAGCGGTAGCAATCAATGTGCAACTAATGGAAGTCTTCAGATCAAATGTTTCTTTTGTTCGTTTGTTTCTTGACAATAATAAAGGCGTTGCTGAAAGTTATCAACAACATCTTGAATTGTTTCCGGGAATCATTTCTTCTCTATTTCTGATTTGCAAACTTTCAATATTGTTTGGTCTATTTACGTATACTTTAAATTTTAGGTAACCCCACAAAAAGTAGTTAAGCGGTGTCGTGTCGGGTGAACGGGCTGGCCACTCTATGGCACCTCCTCTACCAATACAACTGTTGGAAAAAACTCATTCAGATATCCACGCACGTCAGCTACAAAATGTGGTGGAGCACCATCTTGCTGATACCGGATATTCCTATCTATTCGATTCGGATTATCATTATCAGGAAAAAGTCATTTCAGCGTTGGAACTGAAAAATTAGTCAAAAACTCCAAGTAACGTTCACCGGTTAATATGGTCCAATTAATCGCATATGCGATTATTTAGAATCCCTGCCCAAACATTTACTTTTCTGAAATATTGAGTGTGGGCCTCCATCATCCAATGGGGATTTTCTCGGCTCCAATATCGACAGTTCTGTCTGTTGACGGTTTTATTTAAAAAAAAAGTTGACTCGTCGGAAAACATTATATTTTTCTTAAACGCAGATACCTGTCTTCCATTATTTCGCAAAACTCAGTTCTGCGATCGGGATCGTCTTCGTTGAGTTCATGTACCAATTGTACTTCATAAGGTTGATATTTTTCACTTTTAAAAACAGACAGTATAGAACTTTGACTCATGTCGTAATCTGCGGCAAGTTTTCGGGTAGGTTTATGTGGATTCTCCGCGATGTCTACCAAAATATCCAATTTCTTCCCATCGTCAATCAATACACTCCTGCCTGGTTTAGAAATATCTTTGACAGTCCCAAATTCACGAAATTTCGTTTCCATTCTACTATCGGTAGATTGAGAACGTGATGATCAGGATATTTATTATTGAACATTTCACTTACATTCTTCTGGGTTCTAATTTTGTCCCCACATCCCAGTAGTATTAACACTTCTACTCTTTGACGTTCAGTCAAATGAGACATTGCTAGAAGATTTAGATCAGATTCTATAATGATGATTTTTTGCCAATATGAATGTTACTTTTCATAGTAAAAGATTTAGAGCAGATTTTACACTGAAACACTTTTTTGCCAGTATGAATTTTTCCATGTCTTTTCAAATCACCTCCTTGAATGAATGATTTAGATCAGATTTCACACTGATTGTTTTTTCTTCAGTATGAATTTTTTCATGAATTTTCAAATAACGTTTCTGAGCGAAAGATTTAGAGCAGATTTCACACTGAAACGATTTTTCACCAGTATGAATTTTTTCATGCAATTTCAAATAACGTTTCAGAGTGAAAGATTTAGAGCAGATTTCACACTGAAAGGATTTTTCACCAGTATGAATTTTTTCATGTCTTTTGAAATCACCTCTTTGAAAGAATGATTGGGGGCAGATTTTGCACTGAAATGGTTTTTCGCCGGTATGAAGTTTCTGATGCTGCTTCAAGTGACTTCTTCGAATGAAAGATTTTAAGCAGATGTCACAGTGAAATGATTTTTCTCCAGTATGAATTTTTTCGTGTATTTTCAATTCACCTCCTTCGATGAATGATTTGGGGCAGAGTTTGCACTGAAATGGTCTTTCCCCAGTATGAATCTTTTCATGCCTTTTAAAATGATAACTTTGAGTGAATGACTTTGTACACACTTTACAATAAAATAGGGTCTTTTTTGTAGATCTGTCTTCAATGTCACTTCTTCCATTCAAATTTTTTGAGCACATTTCATTTTTCTCATGAATTATACTTTCTTCAGTTGAATTCAAGTAATAACCAGAACAGAAGATTTCATTATTCTCTGTAGTCTCAGGTAACATTTTTTGTTCAACGACTGTATCTTCCTGTGTGTCAAAAAACAAGTTTCCAGAATCTGAAAAAAATAATAAGTGTAGTGAAAATTATTTCAATCAATTGTATCTGTCTTATGAAAAACAAGTTTTGTCTATTATATAATTGAAGTAAATGAATATCGAATATCGAGTTCATTGATAGAATATACAAGCATTCAAAAGCTTTCTTCTTTCCTTTGGAAGTTTTCCACATTTTCTATATCAAGATGGAGAAGTAAAAAACCAAAACCTCCCTTTCCAGAAATTATTCTCTCCTAAAAATATGCCTCCTTTCACTATAAACAAGATTCCTATGGCTGGGATCGAATCAAATAAGAGAATGATTGTAAATTGATTGAAGTAGCCATTACAACCAGGTAGGAGATCATGAAAAATTATACTCTCACTTTACATGTTTTTTTTTTGTATTCATACTTGTACAGGGATAGCTGGCTGATGAAGCTGATATAATAACATCCAAATATGAGTAAAATTCTATTATTTACAATCTGGCAACACTGTTCACAAATTTCATTCTAAACAATGTGCCAAAATCCCACATCATAAGCTGTGGATGAGAACAGAACATTTTTTGTTGAAAATATATTTTTTTATTGAGATCCATCATAATTTCTGATCATACTTTTCAAACTTTCACTAAAATAAATGTTACCTGAACCAAAGCTAAGTGGTTTAAAATCCCAAGGCAAATCTGCATCTTGCCTAGCATTAGACTCATTCTGGCATTGACATTTACAGGAGGATTCCACATGTCGTTATCAACATAACCGCCCTCTGTCGCGATTTGAGAGGAAGTCCCGATGGAAATAGATAGTAACTGACATTAAACTTCGTGTTATCAAATGGTGGAACCACCGACATAACCTATATCGATGGGTGGAACTAGTTATTATTGCAGGGTTGCCAGATCGTTCAGCTCGATTTCCCATATCGAAATTTGAAAATCCCCAAATTGACATCTTTTTAAAGAGAATCCCTAAAAAATTTAATTTAACGGATGCTTCATTTGTCAATGAATATGCATATCACTAAAATCTTAAAGCAAGTCGATTCGATAGTTAGAAATGAATGAGAACAAGAAAGTTTTCAAGCAAATTAAAAAACTATTTCTAAAAAATGTTACAAAACAGTATTCACAAACTTTTACAATATTGCGTTTTATTTTCCTTAAGGGAAATCGATGGTATGCCAGTAGTACTATTTGTATAGATACAGTAAGAAATTTAATTAAAGGAAATAAAAAAAGATAGATAGTAACGGTATCAGAAGCAAAATAATTTGGGGTTACTCAGGATATATTTTTTTATTTTGTTTTTTTTAATGTTGAAAATGTCCCTCATTTGAAGTGGTAGTAAACATGGACGTTGAAAAATATTTTTATTTTTCTACGTACATGGTAGTAAATTTTATAGATTTGCTGCATAAAGAATAGACTGTCTTTATTTAATATTATTTTCAGAATAGAATATTGCGTATATTGAAGACTTTGTATTACATTGTTGAAAATACCATCCCATATAACAACGCTGTATCGCAGTCACGATTTCACTGGTGACTTGTAGACTAGTAATATATTATTTCCATGCAATATATCCCCAGAGTGTAGAATTTGTCTCAACCATATGATTAGGATTGAAACTTGTTCATCCCATCTCATATATGTTGGTCCAGGATAGGTAATTCCCAAAATATTTTAAAGAATGTATTTTTTTTTTTCACGGCATGTACAGTTTAGCTGCTCACAGTTACATAGTTTCTGAATTTTAAGTATCCTGATATTTGGTTGATCTTCGGAAGTGAGAGAAAAAGTTATAAATTTGCTTTGCTCAAATTCAAGCCGAGTCTGTTATGATTTAACCAAGATATATCTTCCCCCAAAGCTAGACTAGTAGCAAGAGGTTTTCAGCAGAAAGAAAACATATATGTCACAAAAATGATTTGAAGCTTTATATCTTCTATTTATTATATGCGAGCGCTTTCGACAGCTGGCAGTGCTATCATCTTTCTGGCTCTACTCAGTTTGTTTGCAGGCATGTTAGGCGTACACATTCTCGAACCATCAGTCAACCCTTTCGTAACTGTCATACCAAGATTCGGCCAAATAAAAAATTTGCCGTTGTTCTTGTCTATATTTAGTTATTTGTTACGCAATTTCATTATTCTTCTGCTTTCCATCCAAATCCTAGTTTTTTATCCAATTCTGAAGAGTTTTGTCACAACAGAAAGTATTCAATTTCTTCCTTATGATTTCAATTGTAGGTATCTCATTGCTTTTGTAACATCTTAAGGTTTTGGTAATCCCGTACCACATCGCGTCTTGCGTTCATAAGGTTTGTTTTTGACTATTAGAGGAATACAGAGTGAAAAAGGAATTAAAAAGAGAATTCCATATGACTGACCAGGTATAAATATTCAACAAAATTTAGAGAAAAATTGGCTGGTCATCAGTCAGAAAGAAAATATTGAAAGCCGTTTCAGGAAATAGGAAATAGAAGTATAGGAATAGAAAAGGATTTGAAATTAGAGAAAATTACTGACGTTAGTCTGAAAAGTGACAAACCTTCCCGGGACTCATTGGTAGTCTTACGTTCATTACGTTAACTGCACGTCAAGATATTTGTTTTTCGTAAATTACTTGAGTCGTTTTCAAGATTGTGCAGGAGAGGAACACTGCAAACACCCCAAGACAGTTTCAAGATATCTGCGCAGAACTTCTGTACTGAAACTTTGTTACAGGCGACGACAAAAAGCCACAGTAATGATTGGTTTTGCTGATTCTGATTGGGCGAATGACAGCGACAGGAATTCAACTTCAGGTTATTTATTTAAATAATTTGGAAGTCTGATTTCTTCGACAACAAAGATACAACTGTCTGTTTCACTTTCAACTATCAAAGCCGAGTTTGTTGCTGCCTGTGAAAGAATTTGGTTAAAAAATCTGATAACTGACATGAAAATACATTTTTCTAGTCCTAAACAAGCATTTGAGAACAGTCAAGGATGTATTCAGCTCTCCAAGAAACCCTATAATATAGAATGGTCTAAACATATTGATATCAAATATCATTTTATCAGAGAAAAAGTAATTAGCAGAGAAATGAGCTCAGATATGTGGAATCGAACAGGCAAGAGACAGATGTACTGACAAAGATCTGACAGGAGATGTTTTTAGAACTCCAATGTCTATTATCGGATTGAATGATAAGACTTTTTATTCAGGTGGGGTGGTTAGGAATTAATATGAGAACATTATTCAGTTTAGTTTATATATACTTTTATTCAATTAGTTGTATATAGTTGCTATTGTGTGGATATAAAAAATAGAAAAACAGTTTTGTCAATAAATGCCAAAGGAAACATTTCATTCTCTTCAATTTTGAGAAATAATTAATTCCAAAACACACTCATAATTTATAATGAACTGGTTTTTCGCGAATATATATTGTTTCATGTCATTTCAAATCAACTTTTTGAATGTATGATTTGGGGCAGATTTTATATTTGAATAGTTTATCACCAGTATTAATTATTTAATGCAATTTAAAGTAACCTTTCTGAGTAAAAAAAATACATATGATTTCAAACTGAAACGGTTTTTCACCAGTATGATTTTTGTTATTTTTTTTTCAAATCACCTCCTTGAATGTATGGTTTGGGGCAGATTTAACACTTGAATGGTTTATCGCCAGTATGAATTTTTTCATGTATTTTCAAATAACTTTTCAGAGTGAAAGATTTAGAGCAGATGTCACACTGAAAAAGTTTTTTGTCAGTATGAATTTTTTCATGTCTTTTACAATCACTGGCTTGAATGAAAGATTTGGAGCAGATTTTGCACTGAAATGGTTTTTCGCCAGTATGATGTTTTTCATGCATTTTCAAATGAATTCTCTGAATGAAAGATTTAGAGCAAATTTCACACTGAAATGGTTTTTCACCAGTATGGATTTTTTCATGCAATTTCAAATAACATTTCAGAGTAAATGATTTAGAGCAGATTTCACACTGAAACGGTTTTTCACCAGTATGATATTTTTTATGTTCTTTCAAACCACCTGCATGAATGTATGCTTTGGGACAGATTTTACACTTAAATGGTTTATCCCCAGTATGAATGTTTTCATGAAATTTCAAATAACTTTGCTTAGTAAAAGATTTAGAGCAGATTTGACACTGAAAGGGTTTTTCGCCAGCATGCATGTTTTCATGTCTTTTGAAATCACTGGCTTCAATGAAGGATTTAGAGCAGATTTTGCACTGAAAGGGTTTTTCACCAGTATGAGTTTTTTCATGTTTTTTCAAACTGCCTCTTCGAATGTATGATTTAGGGCAGATTTGACACTTGAATGTTTTATCGCCAGTATGAATTTTTTCATGCAATTTCAAATAACTTTGCTGAATAAAAGCTTTAGAGCAGATTTTACACTGAAAGGGTCTTTCACCAGAATGAATTATTTCATGTCTTTTCAGATCATTATTTTTACTAAATGATTTTGTGCACACTTTACAAGAAAAGCGGGTCTTCCTGGTAGGTCGGTTTTCAATATTGGTTCTTTTATTCCAATTTTTTGAGCACTTTTTGTTTTCTTCTTGAATCCTCTCCTCAACTGAATTCAAACAGTACCCAGACCTAAATGTTCCATCAACCTCCTCAGTTTTAATAAGCGTTTTGTGATTAACGATATGGAAATGTTCAATAGAAATTTCCTTTTCATATGACGTTGATGGCACATTTTCATTGTATACCACCTCTTCTTTCACAACTAATGTTTCTTCAGGAATTTTAAAATGAAAGTTTCCAGAATCTGTAAAAAAATGGTCTAATTGTACTTTATGGGATACTAACGGATTTTCGCGATTTTTTATGGGATAATACTACATGATGGTAGGAATTCAGAACACTTTTTGTTATTAGTCGGACTCAATTAGTTTTCGAGATATACCCAGTCAGAAGTTGTATGATGTCATATTTTACCTTTTTCTTAACAGCAATAAACGATGGCTTAGGTCGGGTTAGGTTAGTTTGGGTTAGGTTAGCTTAGCTATGGTCGGGTTAGGTTAGATTGAGTTAGGTTGGGTCGAATTAGGTTAGGTTAGGTCAGGTTCAGTTAGGTTAGGTTGGTTTAGTAAGGTTAGGACAGGTTAGGTTAGAGATAAGCTATTTATTTCACTAGATGATGAAGTTTCATCCATGATAGGTCACATAACATGTGCTCAATATGTGAAAAACAATATGTGCAACAATCACATTCATACCATTTAAATTTTCAAGACCTTACAAGTTGAAATTCCTTGGAACGCATCATTAACAATGACTTCCACCAGTATAGATACAAAAAATAAGTTTTCTCATTTTCCTTCTCTTATGAAATTATATACATCTACAGAAAATGATCCCAGTATTCTTCAATGACATCATGTCAGTTATTTGTAGATTAGGCAGGGTGTAATTAGTTCAGTAATTCAGAACATTTTCTGTTGAAAATATATTTTTTATGAGATCCATCATAACTTCTGTTAATTCTTCTCAAACTTCAGCTAAAATAAATATTACCTGAACCAAAGCTAAGTGGTTTAAAATCCCAAGACAAATCTGCATCTTGCATAGCATTAGACTTCTTCTGGCATTGACATTTAGAGGAGGATTCCACACTATCAGGGCCGAAGATATCAGTTGTACAAAGCAAACCTCCACATAATTCACAATGTAATCCGCCCTTCCCTTCTTCCAGGCACTTTTCAGATTTCAGATCATGATAAACAACATCAATGACATCTTCACTTTTGATACTTTCTGGCTCAAATTCCATCTTTGAAATAACAATTTTCAATGCATCACATTTTTCTTCAGAGTTCGTACCATTTTCATTGTTTTCCACCTCCTCTTTAATTATACTTTCATATTCATCAGTAGCCATTTTCAAGTGGAATGTGGACAAGGTAGATTTGTTTTCAAAGATTGTACAAACATTTGAATTTTTGTCAGTAATCAGTTATTGGGTCACTTTTCTCACTATGAGAATTCAATTACTAACTCAAGAGTAAAGTACTCTTTGCAGTGAAGTTTCATATTTTCAAATAATAGAAATAGATGATACGCAACTTTGGTACCAAATGACAGTTTATCATTGCAGGGTTGCCAGATTGTTCAGCTGGATTTCCCATGTCAAAGTTTGAAAATTCCCAAATTGACAACTTTTTCAAAGAAAATCACTAAAAAATTAAATTTGTTTTGACGGATGCTCAATTTTTAGTGAATATTAATTTCACTAAAATTACCAAAAGTAAGATGGTAGTTGGAAATGATCTAGAGCGAAAAAGTTTTCAACGCAAATTAAAAACTATTCCTAAAGAAATGTTATAAATCAATATTGATAAATTTGTTTTGGATTGATGAACATTGATGAAAATAAATAAAATGATACAATACGCTTGGGAAAGAAAGGTTTTGGCTTTCTTCTCCATCTTCATACAAATAAATGTTTAGTTCTTAGAAAAACAAACAATTTCAAAAAAGATTTGTAAATCATGCAATATTTATATGAAAGTATGTAGTTGTTTCTGAGGGCTTTTTCTTCCAGTTTGTGTCTGAATGTTACTTCCTCTTTTTTTTATGGTCTTTGCTTCCCTTAAGGCGCATTAGACCAAGAAAGATACTTCTTTGCATGATCTACTTTTTTTTAACGAAATTCTTCTTTCTTTCTTCTGGAATGACGGAATTGACTAAATGGAAGTGTACAGTTTGTGCAGTGGATACAGATATAAATGAAATAGAAACTGAATAATAGTTACTACCTACATAAGAACAACATACAAATATAAAAAATATTGATGTTCTTCTTTCTTGGCTGAAAGTTACCACATTTTTTGGTTCAGAAAGTCAAAACCAATCTTTCCTAATTAAAAAAAAATCCTTAATAAATCGAGTTTGCGCTCTATCCGATTATTTATGTTATTCCTAGTCCCACTACTATTGAAATAAATATGTTACTTAAGACAAAGCTTACTGGTTTGAAATCTTGTGGGGTCATATCTTCACCTTTTGCATTGCGACTCATTCTTGCATTGACAGTTACAACAGGATTGAACAGTATCAGGACTGAAGAAATCCGTTGGAATATGCAACACACCACAATGTAGGCCTTTCCTTTACCTCTTGGGGACCCAGACCTTTCTAAGTGAAAATCTCCACAACAAACTATTTTGGAAGTAGTAAAAAATAATTATTTGGAGGATATGAAAGTAAATGATTCTTCTGGAATATCATTGCAATATTTATTACTGATTTGAGCAAGTAGGTACAATATAGAATCAATAGAATATATTTATTTACTAATGTAACAGACATGAAATGATTGTAACATGAAATTACATATACTCAAGATACATAACAAATTATCACCGTAAAATATTAACACATTTTGATCTTGAACAACTCTTATTTTTAGCCTAAATAGATTTCCTAAAAAGGCCCGATTTATACACATTATAAAAGGAAAAACAAAGTGCCGCTTTTGGATGACATTCAAAACCATTATGTATTCAAGCATAGTTCATTCCCTATACAATGTTTCATCATTCATTTAAATAAAACGACTCATTTCAAATTCATTAATTGATGAATAAAGCATTGCGTTTTCTCTGCGTATGTCGACTTGAAGTTAGTATTTCGAATTTTTCAACATTGTGAGGAGGGAATACAACTGTAACTTTTCCAGGTTCTGAAAATATTTGGCTTTGAAAAGATATTAAATATAAGTTGTGAGATGATGCAACATGCAATAAACTTCAATATATTTCACCCTTTTAATTTTTGTTTTTGAATGAAGTTACTATATCTACAACCTCATATACATCAATTGACAAAACTTTTCCCACACGAAAGTAAAAATATTGTCTTCCGACGGGCGTTTCGATAACAAAGTTAACATCATCAGCGACACACGGATTGCCAAAGATTCCACATCTACCTACAAAGCCTCAAAATAACTGAATTGTTAATTTGGTAAATGTACCAGAGACAACAGTATTTATGGGTTGTTTCTTTTTTTTTAATACTGCTCATTTTAGTGTCACACTCATAATTTAAGATGAACTGGTTTTTGGCCAATATGTATTGTTTCATGTCTTTTCAAATCACCTCTTTGAATGTATGATTTGGGGCAGATTTGACACTTGAATGGTTTATCGCCAGTATGAATTTTTTCGTGCAATTTCAAATAACTTTTCTGGGTAAAAGATTTGGAGCAGGTTTCACACTGAAACGGTTTTTCACCAGTATGAATTTTTTCATGTCTTTTCAAATCACCCCCTTGAATGAATGATTTGGGACAGAGTTCACACTGAAATGGTTTTTCGCCAGTATGAATTTTTTCATGTCTTTTGAAATCACTAGCTTGAATGAAAGATTTGGAACAGATTTTGCACTGAAATGGTTTCTCACCAGTATGGTGTTTTTCATGCAATTTCAAATGAATTTTCTGGGTAAAAGATTTAGAGCAGATTTCACACTGATATGGTTTTTCGCCAGTATGAATTGTTTCATGTAATTTCAAACTAACTTTGCTAGTGAAGGTCTTAGAGCAGTTCATACACTGAAATGGTTTTTCGCAAGTATGGATCATTTCATGTTTTTTCAAATTATTACTTTGAAAGAATGATTTAGAACAGATTTCACACTGATATGGTTTTTCGCCACTATGACTTTTTTCATGTAATTTCAAATGAATTTTCTGAATAAAAGATTTAGAGCAGATTTCACACTGATACGGTTTTTCGCCAGTATGAATTTTTTCATGTAACTTCAAACTACCTTTGCAAGTGAAAAACTTGGAGCAAATTTCACACTGAAATGGTTTTTCGCCAGTATGAATTTTTTCGTGCAATTTTAAGGTGCTTCTCTGATTGAATGATTTAGAGCAGATTTCACACTGAAATGGTTTTTCACCAGTATGAACGTTTTCGTGCATTTTCAAGTGACTTCTTTGAATGTATGATTTAAAGCAGATTTTACATTGGAATGGTTTCTCGCCACTATGAATTTTTTCATGGAATTTCAAGTTACTTCTTTGAACGAATGACTTTGAGCAAGTTTTACACTTGAATGGTTTTTCACCGGTATGAATTTTTTTGTGCAATTTCAAGGTGCTTCTCTGAATGAATGATTTAAAGCAGACTTCACACTGAAAAGGTTTTTCACCAGTATGAATTTTTTCATGTCTTTTCAAATCACAATTTTGACTGAATGATTTTGTGCACACTGTGCAAGAAAAGAAGATCTTCCTTGTAGGTCTGTTTTCAATATTAGTTGTTTCATTCATATTATCTGAGCACATTAAATTTTCTTCTTGAATCCTCTGCCCCACTGAATTCAAATGGTACTCTGATTTGAATGTTTTATCAACCTCCTCAGTTTTGAGTAGCATTTCGTGATTGACAGCATGAACACTCTCAATAAAACTTTCTTTTTCATATGACATTGATGGAACATTTTCATTGTTTGCCACCTCTTCTTTCACCACCAATGTTTCTTCGGGAATTTTGAAATGAAAGTTTCCAGAATCTGTAAAAAAATACTAGTATTATGAAAAGAGAAGTGCAACAATCAAATTCATAACATGTACATTTTTGAGACCTTTCAAATTGAAACTCCTTGGAACTCATCATTAACAATGACTTTCACCGGTACAGATCTCATGAAAAATAAGTTTTTCTCAGTTTCCTTCTCTCAAGAAATTACATTGTGCTTTATCTGAGTTCTTGTACAAAAAATCAACAACCACCTATTCAAATTTGTTATTGTTGTCGCAGCAAACTTTGCTTCAGTGCAAGTTCATCTCAACTTAATAAAACTAGGATTGATCCCTGTTGAGATATTGGTTTCTTAAATTGATTGGTTGAAATAACTTACCTCTTCTGAGGGAAAGGCTTTCACTAAAAATAAGGGCAACACAAAAAGTGAATCACGATGTATAAAAAAAAAGAAAGGTGTTCATGGCAGATCATAGATCCTCAAGTCATACTTCAGTACTCTTCAATGATAGTAACTCAGTTATTGTGTATTAAGAAGGGTGTAGATTAGTTCAATAATTCAGAACATTTTCTATAGAAAACATATTTTCATGAGATCCACCATAATTTCTGATTCTTTTCAAATTTTTACCAAAATAAATGTTACCTGAACCAAAGCTAAGTGGTTTAAAATCCCAAGACGAATGTTCATCTTGTACAGCATTAGACTCATTCTGGCATTGACAGTCACAGGATTCCCCACTATCAGGGCCGAAGATATCGTTTGCACAAAGCAAACCTCCACACACTTCACAAAGTAATCTTTCCTTTACTTCTTCCAGACAGTCTCCAGATTTCAGATTGTGAACCATATCAATATCTTCATATTTAATGTATTCTGGTTCAAATTCTTTCTTCAAGATACCAATTTCAAGTGCATCACATTTCATCATAATTTATGATTCTTCTCAAGTACTATACTAAAATAAATGTTACCTGAACCAAAGCTAAGTGGTTTAAAATCCCAAGACATATGTTCATCTTGTATAACATTAGACTCATTCTGGCGTTGACAGTCACAGGATTCCGCACTATCAGGGCCGAAGATATCATTTGCACAAAGCAAACCTCCACACACTTCACAAAGTAATCTTTCCTTTACTTCTTCCAGACACTCTCTAGATTTCAGATTGTGAACCATATCAATATCTTCATATTTAATGTATTCTGGTTCAAATTCTTTCTTCAAGATACCAATTTCAAGTGCATCACATTTTTCATCAGAGTTGGTATTGTTTACATCGCCAGCAGATTCCACTTCCTCTTTTATTAGACTACTTCCATATTCATATTCACCAGTAGCCATTTTCAAGTGGAATGTGGACAAGGTAGTTGTGTTTTCAGAGAAATGAGCAACTGAACTTATGTTTGTCAATAATCAGTTGTTGAGTCACTTTCCTCACTAAGAAGAATTTAAATAGTAACTCAAGAGTAAGATACTCTCTACACTGAAATTTGGTGAATTAAAATAATGGAAATAGATTACTGACATTCAACTTCGCGACGGAATTTTTTGTTTTCATCTCAGTTATATATTTTTTAGACTACTGCGCATCCATAATAACCCGCCTCGAGTGGATTTGTCAGCGTTTGACATTTCATACACTCCTCAACAAGTGAATAATAGATATTTTCTTCAAGGACAAAACATAAGTACTACAGGAAAATCCTTAGGCTCTAAGAGCGGTGCTTGTGCGAAAATAGCGATTCACATTGGATTTGGATCGCTGGAGATTAAATCCATTTGAAAAAACGTTCTCAGGAAGAATATAAACGCAGTTCTCCAAATGAGAAAGTTCTTAAACAATGAAGTTTGAGGTGTACTGATTTGAACCTCGAAACGATGAGCAGCCACAGTACGTAGCGTATTTCTGATATGTACCTCTCTTGGTGGAATCTAATGTGCCAAGTCATTTGAACATTTCCCGTAAAAGTATCTATAGAAGAGAGACAAATCCCCAACCTTTCTTCAATGTTGAGGTGTGTACACTTTTCTGGTTCGAAACAGTGTTCCAAGCTTTCGAGAAACAGAAACCCAAAACTTTTCTTTCCCAAGTTTGTACGTGTTTGAATTTTGGATTCAGGATTGTGATAAACGACGGTCCAATCGGAGCCCAGTCTGTTTATCATCTCCACGTACACGTCTTGTCCGGAAGACAGATGCAGTGGCCCCCAGGATAAGGCTTAAGTTCCCGACCACAATTCGTCAATGAAAGCTCAGTTCGCTTCTGCTTTATTATGTTCTGGTTTTCCTCGAAATAAATATTTGCTTTTGAAGTTTGTTGCAATATTTATTTTCAATAAATCATTTCCGGCCATTACACTTAACATGAGCAAGTAATTAGATGAGCAAAAAATATCATGATTTGAGTTGAAATTGAAAACGCTACCTCATTTCTAGTGTAAAGTTACTCACAACCACATATGAGCTTTCTAGTGTGCCCACAACTTCTCATTTTCTCATTCACAGTTAATGACTTGGAACTATTGCACATGGTTTAGAATGAGATTTGCGAACAGTATTGCCAAATATAAATAATGAGAATGTTATCGGTATGTCGATGTTATCACATTGAAAACACACGTTGAATAAATAAAGTCGGAATTCTAGATAATCTCATTCACATCAGCCAACTATACCAGTACTAGCATTTAACTTTTTGATTGATGATCAATTTATTTTGCACTACTACTAAGTTTTTTATTTGTTACGAACGGTTTCAGTTTATTAAACCATTCTCAAGGAGGGTTACAAATAAGGCAGCAAGCGCGTGTTATTAAAAATACTTTTTTCAAATGATGAAATACGTATAAAGTGAGTTCCAATCATATCTACCCGCGAATAGATCAAGCAATAATGTCGATTTATCATATATTAAGGAAGTTACGTACAGCGCCATCTGTCCGCGAATAGATCAAGCAATAATGCCGATAATTCTGTCAAATATATGAAATTCTGTCATTCTATATGAAATGAAAAGAAGAGTTACAAACAAACATACATACAGGTGAAGCTAATATAAAGCGTGTAATAAAAACTTATTAGAAATCAGACAAAAGTTATTTCCTTTATCCTATATTTAATACAAGTATTACTACAGGAAAATATGTAAAATAACAATATTATTCAAGAAAAATTCATTTGTATGAAAACAGGTAGTATATATGGGAACTCAAAAATTGATTTCTCGCTCAAAATTCAGTACTTGTGACTCAAAAGTATGTATTTTGAAGTCTCTTGCGTTGATAAAAACCTAATGCCCATGAAAGACTTACCCAAAAAGCCAAATTTCTCGCTTATCAAAAATAGTTTGTTCAAAAAAATTTCATGGAATATTCCACAAAAACATCTTCATTGATGTACTTGAACAAGTCGGTCGGTAGCCGGTCGTTTCGACGTGGGTGCTTTGTTCACTCACTCAAATCGACTATTTTCAACCTATCGTCCAACCCGTGTTAGGAATCACACGTTAAAAGGTAAGACCTAGTCCTTAGCTCGCACAAGATTCGACTTCTGAGGGTTGTCGTTCGTAGAGGTGCAACAGTTGATTAACGGAAAAACAGAGATCTGTGTAACATACATTTTAACTGTGCGAAAAAAAATTCCGTATATTCAAGTCAAAAAAGTCAAACTTACTCTGAAATTTTTATCAACAAACTTTTTTGATAACTGACAAATTTGTTTTTCTTTGAGTGATACAGACTTGAATATACAATATTTCATTATTATACGTGAATAATTGAAAGTACTTTTCTAAGTAGAAATAACTTTCACACATTGGTTCTCATTGAGGATAGACCTTATTACTGTAGATATTTCATCGGCTTTTATTTTAATTCTTATTGTTATGATCAACACATTTTTCATTTCATTCAGTGGTATATTTGAAAGATTTAGTAATTTTGTCCATAAATTTTTAAAGAAAATCGCGATTTCCTGTTTTCATTTGTTAATATTCATCTCTCATTAAACTCAACTTTCTAAGCATTGTTTGTCCTCGGACGATCTTCTATGCCAGCATTTCTTGTATAATATCTCCCTTTGAAATGAAATATTCTGTTATTTAAACTTCAATTCAACTTACTATGTATAAATTCTTCAAATGATCGTTCATTATATTCTTTGCCAGAAACTTCTACTTTAACATGTTATATGCATATTCCCCTGTTTATATGAACCATACAAGATAGAGGACGACTGGACGGCTTCAAAATGTCATCTCAAAACTTTATTTTTTGAAATCGGATACCACAAAAGAGTTGATATAGTCAGGCAGCATTGATTCCCTGCAGAGCAAGCTTTTCAATTCATTCGTAATTTATGAGTCCATCAATCTTTTAAGTTAGACGTAGTCCACAGAAACATTTTATAGATTGTTTGTCAATATTTTAGATTTCTAATTATATGGAGGAAAACGGTTTGAATGGTAATTTGGACATGAAGTAGGATTTATAGACAATTTGGTTACATTTCAGACATTTCATTTTGAATTATAGATATCCTTCAGAAAATTCAATTGCCTACGTCTTTGGTGGAACTTTGAGATCCCTGAAAAAACCACGCATGCGTTAAAAGAAATGCCACAGTAGCTACAGTTCAAATGAGCGGCAAGAGACGAAAGATACGAACTGCCTTTCGAAAATGGAAGACAGATTTCCTCGGGACGTTGCAGATTGCGTCAAGTCATTACCAAACTGGCAAATGAATGAATGCACATCTGTCAAAAAACAAAAATGGCAGTTGATGAGCAATAATACAAAAATTTTCACAGTTTTAAAACAACACCAGCTCGTTATTCCTCGATTAATAAGTCACTTTCGATTTTAATGACGTTTTGTGATGAACGGGATGCTACCGTCATTCACCCCACCAGTGGTTAAACGCCTCCTGGGCTGGAAAAAAGGTACAGACGCTGACGATAAATGGTCGGAGAAGGCAGTGAAAAGTTTGGTGAAAAAATTGAAAAAATCTGGAGCGCTAGAAGAACTCGAACGCGCAATTTCCTCGCAAAATCACAACAGCAAGTGTGTTACGATTCCTAGGTGAGCTTCGCTTCTGTTATCTTTCTGCGTGGTTTTATCAAAGTTTAAGGTCATATTATGGATCTGCATTCCCCTCACCTCACTCCGTCTGGCTTGTGACCTACCCTAAATGTCTGCAAAATGTCCTGGCCTTCCATTATATGGAGTTGCTGTCTTTTGTTATTTGGGATTCTGAGTCGAATATCTGAGGATTTCTTTGTACTCATGATGTGATGTCATGGATTGGTGGATCCTGATCCTGAATCCAACAATAAATGTGTCATGTACAGGGTGTCAAGTTCTATTGTTCAGGATTTTATTCATGGGAAATTGCAATAATGATTTACTTTATTAACAGATTTTTGGAATGAAAAAGAAATTTTTAGTAGTAAAATCAATGAAAGTTGATAATTGTCCTCTTACATTCAACTTTTACAGAAAATGTGGGGAGGAAAAAAAATTGAGGAAAAATTGCCTAAAAATAGGAGTTGGATATTCACTTTCATATCATTTCTTCCTATAGTCATAGAAGACATTTCAGTGTCAAATATCAAGATACATATTTTGAAAACAAATATCCAGAAAATTAGTTCACTAAACTACCTATATTAAAATTTTGAAACCACTACCTAGTTATGATATTCTCCACAAGTTTTTTATACTATGCTGAACTGAACTGAAATATGGTGTTGCCATACTATATTGTACAAAATACTTCAAATAAATAGCTGAGTTTCATGCTCAAGGATTGAGATGAGGTTTTTATTGTCTGGTGATGTGGTAGACAAGAAAAGAAATCAAGCAAAAATGGAATTTTTGAAATTATATACAGGGTGTCTGGAAAGTTGAAGATTCAGTTTTTTTTGCAAGATTGAGAAAATTGTGTCAAATAACGTCTTCTAAAATATGTATCAGTTTTCATTAAGATTGGACAGCAATAAATGTATAACTTTGATCTTGCCAGGTGCCCGTAAGTTTAAAAGAATTCATCAGTTTGCAGCGTAAAGGAGCCTTTTTATGTAGATATTTCATTGAAAATTTTTTCAATGTACCTCAATTGTTATATAAAGCATTAATCATGTATCATTTAATTAGTACGAACATGCCCGAAGAAGCTATTGTATAACGTAACACGTGTTGCAGTTTTATAACCTGTTCAGTGAAAATCTCATAATGAAGTGTATCTTTGAATAAAAAATGTATGTCAGGTTAGGTTGCAACTGAGAGGGTCTATACAATCCTACCCTCAACAGTTCATTAGTTTAAATCTGTTGAATTTTAGTTGTTAATTTCTTGTAACAATTGTAGGGCACGTCCCAATGCTGAAATAGGCAATCTGCAACAACAACGCAAGGGTCTACCTCATGTTATTTACTGTCGCTTATGGAGATGGCCTGAGTTGCAGTCCCACCATGAGCTGAGATCTCTCGATCATTGCGAATACGCCTACACTTTGAAAAAAGATGAAGTCTGCATCAACCCTTATCACTACACCAGAATTGAAAGTCCAGGTAACATGTTTATTGAAATAGAGTAGAAGATAACGTTGTTGAGGAATTACACAGTATTGGACAATATGTCTTTGCTTACGTTTCATGGTTTTGTTTATTGCTTCTTCAGAACTAAAAACAAAAACTATTTAACTAACGTACTTGACACGATGTACAAAGAAGAATTCACCTCAGGCATAAATTAGAGTAACGTATATGATGTTTTTGGTGCATTGTGACAATATATTGGTCGTATAATTAAAATAATAAATAACAAACCGTATATTTAATAGTCAGACTGCTGGAGCAAAGTTGACATACACACCTCACAAAAGGTTTAGTTATTATCAACAATAAACGTGGCACAAGCTCAGTTTTTCAAAATTCTACCTCTTGCCCTGAGGAGGAATTCAATATTCAAATGTTTGTTACTACTTTTTTGTAAAGATTGATGTGAATCTTTGTTAAAATTAATCTTTTTTGAGAATTAAGCTAATAATTGAACATTATCAAAATTAAAGTGAGGACTTTCAGGTAAGCCAGTCCAATCCAACTTTTATAGACCCCTACAATCATATTTGTGTTCTTTTACTCCAGAGTGTAATAGCTGTACAGTCTGCCCAATATATACTTCATTACAATCGAAATGTATTCAAAGCATTCAATTGTTAGATGTTTTTCTAAACAGTCTACAAAATACAACAATAAGTATTGAATAGGCCTAAAAAAACTGTTGTAGAGAGACTCACGTGTTGTGATGTAAACATGATAATTTTACGGTAAAGTACATTGAATACGCCCATCATGGTTTTCATCAAGTATTGGTCAGTTCCATCACCTAAGTTTTTTTTGTTTTTACAGTTGAAAGGATGTTTTCAATTTATTGTAATATAAAGCAATGCCGTCCTGCTTCAAGCAAATTTTTTTGATAACTCTTTGACATAGTTCAGTTTGAAATACTCTTTCTTCATTTCTGGAAATGGAAGAAGTTTGAACAGTACTCGAATGATTTTATATGATTCAGTTGATGAGAGATTGGGGATATTGTTTTTTTTAACAAAAAATTCATCGATTTTCGAACGTTTTCTTCGTGATTTTTTATGAGTCAGTGCCAATGCTCCATGCTTGAGACCTTTTGTTATTTCAGATTTTTCCTCCTGTTTAGTGATCAAGAAGGAAAAAAGTATTCAAAACTTAGGAGTCAAAGGGTTATGAGAGAAATGAGGTCGGCATAATAATGAATTGAAAAACATCTTTTCAACTATGAAGGCAAATTATCGAATAAAAAATATATCAAGCTCAGTTCACAAAGTGGAATAGTTGAATTGTGATGAAGTGTATATTGGGCAGACTGTATAACTATTAGGCTGTAGAATAAAAGAGCATATATATGGTTGTAGGGATTTACTAGTGAGATACTCTGTTCAAACATCATCATTATCATAGTCATCACTTTGATTACGTTACCAAAGATTAGATTGTTTTTTTTTAATTGTCTAATGCCCTGCAATTTCTCAACAATGGTAGCATTTTTAGTCAAGTATTATTGTAAGATACATTGTAAGGGTAAGTGTACCTTTTGTTCATTTAATTTTTTACAGCGTTACCTCCAATCCTAGTACCTCGTCATTCTTTGAGCGATGAAAATAATTTATTTCCCCATTCTCTCGAGGATTTGAGCATTTCTGTGCCGGAGAATACTTCTTTTCCTCATAACACCAATCCCCTGGGGTAAGTTTACCCAGTTATCGATTCATTATTTGTTATTCATTGAATATTTTTCAGTTTACATTTACAACATACGGGAAGTTACATGGATACTGTTGGAATATGCCCAAACGGTACCTCTACAAATATGGAATCGCCTCATAGCATAGCACCCCCGACAGAAACGCCTCCTCCTGGTTATATGTCGGAAGACGGGGACCCCATAGATCCTAATGACAATATGAGTGAGTAAAAAATAGTCGATGGATCTTTCCACTAATATTGGGATAACCGCATAGATAAAAAATAACATGTATATGGGTCGTAATGAAGAATGTTTTTTTCAAGCCAAAACTATATACTTCTTTCAATTTAAATAAAGTAGATATTACAATGTATCACCCACGATGTCATCATTGAAATATACATTACTGATTTACATTGATGGATAATTGAAATATAATACAAATTTAAGAACATAAAACTGTAAAATTATTGCTCTTTTTATTCCCAGGTATTTCGAGAATAACTCCAAGTCCCCCGGTAGATGCCCAGCCTGTCCTGTATTGCGAGCCGACATTCTGGTGTAGCATCAGCTACTACGAACTGAACACGAGGGTAGGAGAAACTTTCCACGCCAGCCAGCCTTCAATTACAGTGGACGGTTTTACTGATCCCAGTAACGCAGAAAGGTATTCAGCAGTTTTCCTTCTGCTGTGTGAAATGGGTCTTGAACTTGTAAACGAATGAATAAATAAATAAATAAATCTAGCATTGTATGTTTATTAATTAACTTCCTTTAACTTTGTATATAGTATGCTTTTAGTAGTCCTACGGTGCACATTGTTTGAAATTAATTCTAGATATGTGATAATGTGTATATGAAGTAGGTTAACAAGATTCAAATCATTAACTGTAAAATTTAGGTTAGGTTAGGGATATTTCATTGAAGATAGGTGATCATATAATTGAAGACTGGAATACGATCGTATCTAAATTCAATAATTTTTATCATTCAAGACCAAATTGATTTCGTAAGCCAAATACCTTTCAAAGCAAACTTCTATTTCAAAAGTGACTTCAATTCCTTTACATTATTTCTGAATCCTTTCACAGAAAAGTAAATTACTATTATGGCATAACACCAAGAAGAGAGATTAGTGAGAAGTTTTAAATTGTGCCCTCTTATTCATATTGCATATAAAATGGACTCGTAACGAAAAATATAGATGAACAGGCACCTTGCAAATTATTGTTTTATTTCCTCCCGATTCTGTTGGGAATAAGATGATCATTTGCTGTTACAACGTTTCAAGATAATTGGAATTTTTTTTTTTTTTGTACAGGTGGAGAAGTTTTTGCGGAATGTTTGAGTGACTCGAGTATTTTTGTGCAGTCTCCCAATTGCAATCAAAGATATGGTTGGCATCCTGCTACAGTTTGCAAAATACCTCCAGGTTTGTATTATTCAATAGTTTGGGTAGTACCTAACTTTCATGGCGGTGTTGAATTTCTTTAATTCTTCCAATAAAACTGAGAGTTCCAGCAGAGCAAAGAATACCTCATTGGTTTTCAGGTTGTAACCTGAAAATATTCAACAATCAAGAATTCGCAGCTCTCCTTTCGCAATCTGTCAGCCAAGGTTTTGAGGCCGTTTACCAACTAACGAGAATGTGTACCATAAGGATGTCGTTTGTCAAAGGATGGGGAGCCGAGTACAGGTACTTATCACAACTGATAACAGTTTCTTTCCATCAGAAAAAATTACCGTAGTCAGATATTTTTGTTGAATCGCGAAAGTAAGGGACCCTTGAGGCACCCCTTGCTTATTTGTCGAAGAATTACTTTTATTCTGCGATTTTTGCAATATAATGTTATTTTTTAGGAGACAAACAGTCACTTCGACACCATCCTGGATAGAATTACATCTTAATGGTCCTCTTCAGTGGTTGGACCGCGTCTTGACCCAGATGGGTTCGCCCAGATTACCGTGTAGCTCCATGTCGTAACTTCCTTCGGTCCCTAAAGAGTTCAACACATTGTGTATGTATCCTTTTGTACGTACTAGACTTTTCGATATTACTGTCGAATTTGAGAGAATAATTTTTTTTGTTGTTTTCATTTGTGTTTCAAGCAATATTTCTGGAAACCTTGGTACACGGCTCAAAGTGTGAGAAATGGAAGTTTATTAGGTACCAAATATTACATATAATATACTAGAAAAAACTTTTTTCAGGGCAGGTCTCTAAAATATTACAATAATGACAGATATAACAAAAATTTATGGTGAATATTACTGAATTGAAACAGGAGAAAAAAAAAGCAAATAAAATCGAACAACCCTCCATAAAACAAAACCACAATACTAATTTGAAATTATTCAAAAGATATTTACTCCTCAATGTTCAAATACTTATTCAATACCATAATTTTTTTCATTGTGATGCAGTTTGGAACCTTTGGTGTAGTAATCAATATTACTGGAGTTTTTCCCAACACCAAACCGTTATTTTAACACCTCAGCATGTGTTTCGATCATCAAGTGATCATCTTTAAGAGGTATTGAATAAGTATTTGAACATTGAGGAGTAAATATCTTTTGATTAATTTCAAATTAGTGTTGTGGTTTTGTTTTATGGAGGGTTGTTCTATTTTATTTGCTTTTTTTTTTCTCCTGTTTCAATTCCTCCATATATCTTCATAAAGTTATTATGAATGTTGACTAGATTTGAATTTCCTGCCAAGTCAAATGTCATTTAGTTACGACATTTGACACGAAGGTTAGCCAACAAATCGTCAAGAAATTTCAGAAAATTATGCATATATATCGAAAGACTTTGGTTTCACAGGTTGTGTATCAGGGATTTTGTTTATCTTTGAGAGATGATTTCGAGTCTTAAGGGTATAAAGTGTACAACGTTTTTTACTATAGTTACTAATAGTAAGTTGAGAGTTACAGATTTTATTTTCGAATTAGAAGTTATATGATTATTGAAATATGCAGATTGTTCTATTTCGGAAGGTTTTCTGTTGTCCTTAGTGCATAGCAGCTTTTATCACTGATGGATTTTTTTGTTGACATGTACAGGGTGTTTCACGCTGCTTTTAAATAAGAACACGTTTGCTTGCTGGACAGAAATTGCATTAACGACAACAGACTAAAAATGACGTTATATTATACCATTGTTTTATTAGTTTTTCAAATTTTTACCTGTGTGATATGTCGTCTTGCACTTCATTGTGAATTAATGACGGTTGTTTTTCTTTATTTAAGTGCATTTTTAACATTTAGGGTTATGTATTATAATCGGTTCGCGTTGAGTTCATTATTTGTATTATATACATATTTTGATTATTGTATAAACATAGTTTTTATTGAGGCAAACTACCAAATTGAATGTATTTCACTTTCAAAAATATATAGCCGTTAATTTATTCTTGACTCGTTCAGTTTTTTTTTATCCTTTCTTCCCTTCGGTGAAAATATTGATGTAAACAAGGTATAAATCTGTTTTGTGATTTGTTGTTTTAGTTACAGCATTAGTACTCATTTCAATGAACAAAGTGGGGATCGAACCAAGGATAATAAATGTATCACGAATCGTACGCTGAAAATTAAGACCTCGTTAATCATAAGCTCGTATAGATTTTCACTTTTGGTAAAAGAGTTTTTGGCTAAGGCGGAAAGGGCTTTTTTATTACAAGGTGAAGCTGAAAAACTCTGATGAATAAATTCTAATTTGTGTTGTTAATCCTACTTAAGGTATCTTGTTTTTCTTTCACAAACGGTAATACTTCAGTAACTTTCCCAGACCTTTATAAATATGATATATGTCGTTAACAACTAAACTCAGCAACTTTGTAGTGAGTATAACATTCTCATTCTCTACAAAGATTTATGAAATTATCAAAAAACAAGTCGTTCAAGTATGTCCACTGACTATATGTGAAAGATTTATGGTGCTCACGTCATCGAACTTCATTCTCAAAATGGCCACATTTTTCACAAGTTGATTACTATACTTTACCCATTTAGTTTAATGTGTTTATGATGACATTTATTGAAGGTACTGGTAACTGTTATTTTGTATACCTAGATATTTGTATTTGCCTGATTTGTTTTCAGTGTGAGACATTTTTAGTAGTTTCATAAATAGTTAATGACATTTTGTTTCGGAAGACAAATAAATCAACTGATTACTTTCTCAGACTCCTGTCCCAAAGATTGAGAAAAACTAAATATCTATTTGTAAGCATGAATGTTACCAATGAAAATCTATGATTCAATGATTATCACTAACACTCACAGTATCATTATAGCAAAAGAGCTATCACATTCCAGAAATGAAACAGAAATCAATGTTTAAGAACTTCTATTGAAATCCAAGTTTACAGATGTTAAAGTCATTTTAGAAAATGCAAATTCCAACAAATCATCATCTACTTCAGCTTCTTCTTGGGGCGCAAGTTGTTGGTGTGGCCACACTTGGTCTTCCTGCAGTTCGTAGCCCTTGGGTGCAACCTGGCGTAGCACTTGCGGCAGATCATCTTGTCGCAGTTGTATTTCTGAGCAAGGATACGCAGAGAGGGGTCGATAATACCTCCCCTCAATCTGAGGACGAGATGGAGGGTGGACTCCTTCTGAATATTGTAGTCGGAAAGAGTTCGACCATCTTCGAGCTGTTTTCCAGCGAAGATCAATCTTTGCTGATCTGGGGGGATCCCTTCCTTGTCTTGGATCTTAGCCTTGACGTTTTCGATGGTGTCAGAGGGTTCGACCTCGAGGGTGATGGTCTTACCCGTGAGTGTTTTAACGAAAATTTGCATCGTGGCGTTTCTAAAAAAAAACGAATTGACATAACCTCACTTTATAATTATATTAAAATTATCGGGCAGATACGTGAAAAACGATTCGACGAGTATTTAAATACGTAATTACCTTGTTTGGTTAAATTACAGTAAGAAAAATAGTGAATAATACAACGGTGAAATCTACTTACATGCAAAAAACGTGCTCACCACAATATCTTTCACAGGCTAAAGAATATTACAATGCTGCCGATGTTGCTAGATGAAAGAAATTTAGTCATCAAAACACTAGCGCCATCGTGTCAAACTGCGGAACATATATTCTAGTTCGCATTTCGAACGATTCTACAATGGTTCAAAATAGATACACAGCTGAGTATTGTAATTTGATTCGAGAAAACTTTACCAAGACACAACTGTGCGACTATTTTTGACTGTTCCGAGGACCGTTCACATACATCATGTATATATCCTAGATTGAAGTTCAAATAAGGAAATTCATCGACAAGATGCGACATCTATCGGAAATGTTAGAACTCAGTCAAACAGTAAAATTAAAAAAATTCGGTCAGATACAATTTACAAATTGTTGTTTTTTTTATACTCCACGTTTGGTAAAGTATCTGATTTGTTATTGAAACAACACATTTTTCTCGTGAACTCATAATTAGATACTTCAGATTATCTATTTACCGTATGATGTCATCAGTTATTAAACACAGTAGCGCCTGTCACTATATTGGACACTAGGAACTAATATACTTTGAAAAGAAAGACGCATGTTTTTTCAAATCCTTCAATTAATCAAGAAGAATCCATGCCGACTTGAAACGATTTTACATATAGTTTTGCAATTAGTTATCCGATTTTCATGTAGCTTGAATCGATCGCTTTGAAATAATATTCTGCAAATGGGTAACTATTGTTTCTCGAAGTTTCTCCAAGGAAAAAAAATCTATACTGAATTATATCGAAATCATGGAAATGGGAGTTACATACAAACATTCCATTTCGCATGCAATTTTCCCTTAGTATGACAAAACGAGTATTCGTCCGATTCTATATTCATATATTTTATACACTGGATTTTATTTGAATTATCCAATGTTAATAATAAAGTGTATTCATAATCAAACTATATGGTTTTCAGAAATATCTAATAAATAAATGAACCCCTCTGATTTGCCTTATTCTTCAAAATATTCAAATTCAAAAATAGTTTTTCCCCAAATCACAGCGTCACATGAGATTGTCGTGTAAACATTCAGAAAAACCCAATCACAATCATAAATAATTATCGATAATATTAATAGCAAAATTACCGGTTTAAAACAATGACAATGAAGAAAAATCCAAGGAGAAAAGAAAATATCTCAATTTTAGCGTCCTCTGTGAAAAAATGGAAGTGTCGGAAACGATTCTTTTATCCATGACTTACGTATAAAGTACTTTTTTCTAAAAATTCCGACCAATTAGATTTATTTTGTATCATAATTAAGGAATTGAAGTTAAATGTATAATTCCAAGCAAATTCGTTGAGGGTAACGTACATGTTGAAGTCAAAATATATTAAAATTGAGGCAAACGTGTGTTCCCCAATCCTATTGCACCATTCAGCTCATTTTAGTGGAAGTATGATGTGGTAATTGTCCTTCAAAGCGCCACTTTGTCTGTGCCTTGTTGTCGCCAACGACACTTCACAATCTCCACACTTCAATCGACCAATCAAGTATACAGTATAATAGGAAAATACCAGCCTGTGATTGGTTCTAAACACGTCAGATTCGTTGGTTAGTTCAGTTATCAGCCGTTTTCTGGTTCATCCGTTCAACGTTCAACTTAATTTTTTTAAATATTAAAAATACAAATATGTAAGAAAATGACTTGATTATAATTGCGGATTGAAGACTTATTATGAGTGAGACATTAATATATATTGAATAGATCATCGTCATAACTTTATTCATCGGAATATTGTTCAATTAAACTAGGTATATTTTGCTGTTTACTTTAAATTCTCATACCTAACCTAAATCGACTTTGCCAAATTTAAATCAATAATATATCGAAATCAAATATATCTTTCTGAAGGTGTAACTAAAAATTTCATGAAAGTTAAGCAAAACTTCGGTAATCAATTCAATAAGGCGCCAAAATTTTGAAATTGCCTCCAAATGTGAGCTTTTCCATGGCCAACCGAATTTTCAACCGCCAAATCTTCGAGAGATTGTCTATGCCCTTTCGCGCCAATTCAGTCGTTAAGTCAAATCAGCCGGTTCAGATTACACGTGTTTTTTCGGCTAAAGAACAAAATAATAGCAAAATGCCTTCAAAAGAAAACGGCGTGGCTTTGAAACTGAGATACTCCAAAGTGGTGCCGGAGGCCTACATCCCGACCAAGGGTTCCCTGAAAGCTGCAGGCTACGACTTGAGGAGTGCCTTCGACATAACCGTTCCGGCGAGGGGCAAAGCCCTTGTGGATACGGGCTTGAAGATTGAGCTCCCAGAAGGATGTTACGGAAGGATTGCACCTAGATCGGGTTTGGCTGTGAAAAATTTTATCGACGTAGGAGGTGAGCAAAGCACACTATGATTTTATTCAAAAACGACTCACTCATATTAGAGTAAATGAGACACGTAAGAGAGACACGTCATTAACCACAAGGGATACTAGTAAGTTCAATCTCCTTCCATCGTAGAGATAACCTCCATTTTCAATTCCAGATGGTATGAAGTGAACAAACACTATTTCGAAATAGTTTCCATACAGCAATCACTTGTTTTTTCTCAGTAAAAGTCTTTTGATTTTTTTTACTGCTGCCACACTGATTTCAAAAGCAAGAAAAACATTTACAATTTAAAAAGGAGGGGTTGTATGTGGCAAAATGGGTTCGATATTACTTTCATCAATCTTTGTGGTTACATTCTTCAAACAAAAATCAACTGTACTGACAATTTTTTCCTTTTACTGATATTGAATATGCTTTAAATAGTCAAAGGCGTCCATATAAAATTTTCAGAAGGGTCATTATTGTGGAAATTGAAAATTTGGTCTCGGAGGGAGTAATTAGAGACATTTTTATTCAAGTTTATGACACTTACTAAATTTGGTATTAAAATAATACTTCACGTAGGGAAATTAAACAAGAAAAAGAGTCAAGTTGATATAAATACTTCAATAAAATAGTGTTTCAAAAGTTGGTTAACTAACATGTTTGAATTATATTACTATTCTACTCTAGTAGAATAGTAATGTGATTGTTCAATTAAAGTTTTTTTTTGTGTAGGAAACTAGTTTTTCATTGACATTTTGGGATTTCTTGATCTTCATATAAGTTGCTTCATACAATCTATATATTTTCATTCAAAGAAATGTGTATTGTTATATTTGTTGATTTTGCCAATCACTGAAATAGAGACGTGATTGCTTGGCCCTATCTTGAGCAGTATAATTAAGAAAAGAATGTATTGTCCCTATTTATTAGGTCAAATCAATTTTCATGTACCTAGGCTGGTTTCGGAGAAAGAAATTACTTTTTATGTAACATCTCAAACTAATTCACTAGTCAAGTCTCCATTTAGCTCAGTATGTAAAATTTTCAACGACAATTAAACTTCTTGTGATATAAACAATGATTATCTGAACTCAAGTTTGATTATTTATAAGCAGAATCAGAATAAATTGTGGAACTTCATATTTTATTTCATGTAAACTTATATCATCCTTTATTTTTTTTCTGGTTTAGAGTGTACACCTATAGAAAATAAAAGTATTATTATTATCATTATTCAGAGGTTCATCTTGTCGATAAATATTTTCGAGCTAAAATGACATGAATAAAAACACTACAAAAAAAAAGAAAAAATTCATTAGACTTATTATGAAATCGAGCTAAAATAACATGAATAAAAACACTACAAAAAAAAGAAAAAATTCATTAGACTTATTATGAAAATATTTTGTGCAAGTTTGTCCTCAAAAAAATTGATATGAGGCATAATAAACCTTTTTGTATATTCCATTGAATATCTTTCTATCTTTGTATCTATATTGCAGCTGGAGTGGTCGACGAAGACTACCGAGGAGTTCTAAAAGTTGTGTTGTTCAACCATTCTGATACTGACTTTGAGGTCAGATCAGGAGATCGCATAGCCCAACTCATTTGCGAAAAGATCTACTACCCAGTTTTAGAGGAAGTACAGGTAACATCCAAATATTTATAATCAACTATTTATGTATCAAAATACTGTTACGTTTTTCCACGTGGATTGACCAATAATTAAAACTACAGTGAACAATAATCAAACTTAATTTTATTTCACTTCAAATACAAAAAACACTTCAACTATTATTCCAATCTCTATCGCCTTACTAGATCGCTTCGCATACCGCACTGTAACTTTCACTTGACTGTCTTGATATGCTTGTGACTAACGTTTATATATCGTAATCGAATACAGTAGAAATTTCGCCGAAGTTCCATCGAAATTGGTAGAGTTATTCTTGCTGCTTCTAGAGCGGCAGCGAACATCGTACATTCGCGCGCTCTTAGCTACGTCACAATTGGTTTATGGCCACCAGTGGCGGCCGGCGTTATTTTCTTTAGGGCATGATTATTTTGATACACGAATATTGTCAAGGAATCTGTTCATTTTCAATATTGAATTTTTTATGATCTTTTGGTATTTAAGGTACATTTTTCAGTAAAATGTGGTCAAGTACTGTTACAGTTTCACTTTTCTTTAGGTTAAGTTAAACACTCACTTTTTTTTCTTCTAGGAATTGACAGCTACTGAACGTGGTGAAGGCGGATTTGGATCAACTGGTACCAATTGATTTCTTAACTGCCTTTTTTTTAATTTCCTCAATGTATTATTTTAATTAGTCAGTACCAGTTTAACTTGTTTTGTTTTTATTATAGTTCGATGTCTCGATATCAGGATGTATGTCAACTATTTCGTTGTTCCTATATTACTTTGAGAGTGTTCATATCCACCTGGGATTTTTGTTTTTTATTCTAGTTTTAATTGTAATACTTTCCTTTAAATTTCAGTTTTTGATATAGGCAGATCCGATACAATATGTGATACATGTGGGAGTTCAAAGCTAGCTTCTGAAATTACTGAAAATACTGGAAAATACATGCTTTTATTATTACAAATGTTTTGTTTTTTCTACATGCATTTATTACGTGACTGTAAATAACAATTAATGCAAATTATCTATGTCAAACAATTCACTTTAACCATTATTTGTGAACGAAAAACCAAAAACATTTAGAGTGAGAAGTACTTAGTTTTATTTAACTAAAAGAATATACATTCCATGGAAATTCATCACCTTCAATAAAACAATAACATTACAAAAAAAAGAGTTCAAAGGCACAAAGCATGAAAGTGATGTGTTACAGTGATCGAATTGTAATTTTTAGTAACCTTTCGTCACATTTGGAGATACTTGAAACTGAATTATATTGATACAAATCCCGTGGACAATCACTGAGGCTTTCATAACCAACCACTAGTAAATGGACTGATTCTATTGATAATGGGGGATAAGTAGTTGTTTTCTTAGACTTATGAAAGGTTTTGGAACCAATTGAATACTGTATTGGATTTCTGATCAGGGCTTGTCACGACTTCTGTAATACTAACTCTGTTCGTACACTTTACATGGCTTATGTAAATAGTCAGCTCAGTTCTGCTTCAGTTATTTGGAACCCCCTGTATATCTCGTATATTGAAAGACTTTAATCTATACAAAGCAAATTCGTCATCTATGGGCCGTGTTTAGATAATAGAGATTGTTTGAGGTTGATATTGTATCAGGCGAAGACGGAGAGTGTCGCGTAAGCTAAAGGAAATAAACTGGATGAATATGCATAATCGAAGACTACTTCATACAACCCATAAAATTTTAAACTACGAAAAAACCTCCTTATTTACACAAAAAAATCATCTTTAGAAGCCATGTTCATAATGTCAATATTTGTAGAAGAGGAATTATAACTATACCCTCCCATAAGAAAGAGATATTCAAACGTTCCTTCACATACTGCACGACAAATCTGAATAAATTCCTGATCACTCACTTTACAAAATCGATGGCGTTATTCAAAAGAATAATAAAAGAGAAGCTATTTCAATATTAATATATTTAGTACCCAACTGGCAGTTTTCATAATATTCGAAATATAATAATCTTAATTGATTACCATTTACTTAGAATATCGACGCTGATCACTCACTTTACAAAATCGATGGCGTTATTCAAAAGAATAATAAAAGAGAAGCTATTTCAATATTAATATATTTAGTACTCAACTGGCAGTTTTCATAATATTCGAAATATAATAATCTTAATTGATTACCATTTACTTAGAATATCGACGCTCAATTCGTTTAATTTTCGGACGGGCATTTGTGAAACGTGGTGAACGAACCAACGTTTATTGCCAAATACTTGGTTAATTTTTTGGTCTTTTTCTGCAGCGCTCTGGTTCAATTTAAATTCGTAGAGAAAACTTGGCTGAAAATCGTTCAACGACATCATATAGTTATAAGCTGAAAAAAAAGCCAAAAAGTAAAATTTGGGGAAAAAATGAGCAGCATCAATGTTAAATATTTAGACAATGCCTTGGTAAAAGAAAATAAAGTAAGATTTCTTTACCGACTTCTTCTGTCGTGATCATGATTCAACTACTGATCAGAAGATGTCGCAGAATTTCCTCACTGAATTTTGTCACAGAATAATAAACAAAATATTATTAGGCTTGTTCTGGTTCTCTGCTCGGACTGTTCCAAACAGTCACCCAAACTGTATACTGAACATTTTGTCGCGTTAACCTTTTCAGTCCACAACTGACTCACTGATTTTGGACGATTCGAAACAGTACAAACTGAAAACCAGAACAAACCTATTATGTGACTGCAATTCTCAGGCTGAATCATTTGTTGAAACGCATTCTAGTTGTCGATAAAATGGAATATGTAACTTGATTAAACTGCTAAAATATAGCGTCCATGAAAACACGCACTTATTGCGTTTGTGGCCCAAAATTATTCAAGTAATAATCTGCTGCGTCGTGAACTGGTTTCACGTTTCATTATACTTATTGACTGTGTTGCAGATATACAGAGAACAGAGAGTATCAAGAAGTTGTCTGCCGAAAAAAAATTATTCCCATTATTGGTGTATCGAATTGTATTACTACAAGAAAGTTTGTATCATTAGTCATATTTATCTATTGTTGCTAACACGAACCCCCGATTTTGCAGATTTTGATTTTGATCTTTGCCACTATAAAGTCCAAGTGACTGATGGTATCTGGAAGAACTAGAATAAGGAAAAAAATCCTACCCCGTGGGTCTGTTGAATGTTTGGTGGGATTCCTTGGTTGCCTTGGTTCCATTGGTTGTTTCCTTGGTTCCAGTTGTTTCCTTGGTTCCAACTGTTTTCTAAAACCAAAAACGATTTTCATGAACATGGAGTTTTTTTAACGGTTAAAATGTATGTACACCTGGTATATTCATCACAGTCCTCACAGCTTTTTCAATGTATCCCTCAACACCTTGTGTTTAGGGTTATCTAACATTTATTCAAGTGAGCACGAAGTTCTGAAGGCTACCTTTACGTTCAGCTCTGCAGTTTTTTGTTGGTTGAATGTAGTCTTCGATTATTTCATCAGTGAGAACATTAACACTCAGATGTACCTTCAAAATTCAACAGTTTTTCAATACGAACACTTGGGAAAAACGAAGATACGTCAAATGTTTCTAAAATCTCTACTCGCAACTTTGCATTCTTGATTTTATCTATGAATTCATGTGAATTACCGAAACTTAAATTCACTTGTGAGATCGAAAGAGTTTCAAACTGTTTGGTAAGCTGTTTACCAATTTCATAAGCAGGGGAATTTATGGCGGACTTAATTATTGGCCGCACCGACTCTCCAGATTTCTGAATTTTTGGTAGACCGCATATTTTAGGAACTGTATGATTAGGAACCTATAGAGTCCTGTTTAAAGTCGGTGCAATCAAATCCTGACACTTCTTCAGTGTGTTTTTCACTTCTGAAACTGTCTTAGTCAATTGGTTCTTTGGTTGCATATTATTGTTACAGTTTTGACTCCTAAACCGAAATTCTGATACGTTATATTAGAATAGCTCTTCATTCCAAGACAATCCTGATTAACTATGCTCTTTTGAGCACATACGTAAGTTGTGGAACTCAAACTCAGATCGACAGGTGACAAGTCTGGCGATTTTGCTGGCCGATCTTTGATTACCCCCTCAAAACATAAATTGGTCGGCTTACCATATCCTGGGGCAAGTGCTTCTGCGAGTCCTTCTCCGTGGTAGTCTCCGTCTCCAATGTATTCTCCTCTGTTCAACCTGTTGGTAGCATCATTTCCCCATTGTTGTGGAACAGGAGCAGGGTTCCACTGTTGTCCCTGGAACAATCATGACTTATTAAATACACATTATTGAATAATAAATAAAAAAATTGGGAGCTAGTAGCGAATAAAATTGTTTTCTTTTCAATCCTCTTGAAGCAGTTCTGATATGCACAAATGCCGGTGCGAAACGCCGTCCTTTCATGTGTTTCTTCAATCTTGGGAACAAGAAAAAGTCGCAGATGGCTAAATCTGGAGTATACGGTGGCTGAAGCATAGTTACCGTGGTGTTTTTGACCAAAAAGTTACGAACAAGCAATGAACAGTGAGCAGGTGCAATAATGTGATGCCAACTTGGCGTGTTTGGTCTTGGCTCTCCTGGGCCCTTTCATTGGGATGATTCACACTTTCGAGCAAATTTGGATAGCCGTTGACGTCTTTCAACAATTCCTGAGCGATGCTCATGAGACGTTTTTTTGGTATTCAGCAATTTTGCAACGCCAATAGTTATTGGCGTTTCATTGTGTAATTGAGTGACTTCATATTCTTTTCGTTTGGAAATGTTCTTATAGGACGAAACCACAGTAAAGTTAGTTACACAAACAAGTGGTATAAAAATAGGAATGAATTCTCATTTTTCAGAACGATGTTTCTAATGAAAATAGAAAACTTATTTTTTTTTCATCCGAAAATGAATGTCGGTCAAGAATTTCAAATGAAATCCTGTATATTCGATAAAATATGAAAGTATCTTTTCAACGATATAACACAACTGACCGTTTTCTCTCAAAATGGCGCCATAGGAGCCATTTTCATTAAATTAAATATGGTGGCTTTATGACGTCATTTATTATATGGACATTTTGTCAAACAAATGTATTGAGAAACAAAAGAGGATATTCACTCAGTATGTACATAAAAATTTAGGAACTAAAGTTTTCACCAATTGACTTTTCATCAATTTATTTGTATTTACCGTATTTACTTCATTCATTTAGAAAATCGTAATAAATAAAATGTTGAAGATACTGTGAGGTTCATTTTTCTGTACCGGTCGAAGAGTTACAATTACAATTGAATGTACAAATTCAAGATGTACATTGGCAACGAATTGCTTTTCAAATACTCGATTGGAATAACACATCAGGCATGAGAATAAAAATGAAACCATTCGTAATATTATATTCTGTTACCTGATGACTATTGAATCAACATTAATTTCCATTGAAAAGCATTCCAAATTGTTTTCCTTTCCATTAATTTTTTCACAATTACTATTTTCCTTGCAATAATGGATTATCTGTTTCATCCTCATCTTTCACAAGCCTTCACAAATATATCAAAACTCTCACCTGATTCCACTGATTGGGTTGTGGATTCCATTGCTGTTGGGGTGCTCCCCATTGTTGTGGGGCAGGTTGTTGGGGATTGGCGGATACAGCAGGGTTGGCACAGTTGGGGAAATTGGGGCAAGCCTGGGGACTGACTCCCGCTGGATACAGGGAAGCAGGCTGACCCCCTGCTAGGGGACCATTCCATACAGCATTGGCTGCTGCCAGGGTACAAGCGATTACGGCCTGAAAAATCATCATCATTATTATTTTTCAGACGAAAAAAAATATTTGGCTTGATGCGCCTGAAAAGAAGCAAAAGCCAAAGACATTGACAGACAAAGACAGAGGGGAATTTGGTTGTAACTGTTTATATTTGTTGTCTGTATTCTTTTTTGTATTTTTTAAGTTCAAGGATGACAAATATTCCTTCT